AGCAATTCCACTATTAGCAATGACTTTATAGGTAACTCCCACAATAGGCCATGGTATTACACATGGGATAGCCACCGAAGCACTGATGGGAAGAGCCCCCAAGTAGAGCTAATCTAAACACCCTACATGAGGAATCATAAATAACAACAGTCCTGCAGTCAGTCAGTACTCTGCAGCCACTGAAAAAAATGTAGCCACTGGGCAGGTGGGGGGGGGGGAAGACAGTGAAAAAAGGCAAACACGTAATAATACATGCAGCGTGACTTCGTTTGTGTATGTTTTTCAAAGGGCATACATATTTTCTGGAAACACACACAGAAATATTCTGTGGACCTCTAAGAAATGGAGATGGGAGTCATCCAGGGAAGGAAGAATCTTTCCTTTTCGTTTATTTTCTGTATAATACGAAATTCTTATGTTTGTATCATAAGTTATGTGAAGATGTCTTAAAGTCAGAAATATGCAAACACGTTAGTCCTGGATTAATGAATTTGGGACAAAAGTAAAGACAATTCATTACAACTATGTACCAGGTATTAACTACATTTCATGTAGAATGCCAGAACAAGATTCTGATTTGCTTCTTTAAGGCTGATTTAGAACCTCTTTAATGACAGAGCAGCACATCATTGGCTCTTTCCCTCTTTCCTGAGGCCTGTATTCACTCAAAACAGTCAACAAATTGTTTCCTAACCCCCAGAGCTTTGCTTAGTGGTAAAGAGAGTTAGATCCATTCCCACTTTGAAGATCTTTGCGGTGGCCAAGGCAGCTGCTATTTGTCTAGAGCTGGCTAGAGAATAGGCTATTTTTAACTCTGGAGCTTGGAAACTGGTTAAGAGTGCCTTAGAAGGGATAAAGCAGAGCCAGCCTGAAGATACCTCTGACTCTGTGGCTACAGGTACTTTAAGCTGTGGCATTATAAGGAAGATAGTGAACACTGGTAGTAGCACTGTAAGAGAAAAAAGGGAGTTTAAACTGTGTATGCGCTCTTTCAAGAGGCTTTTAGATTCAGCACTTACCTAAATTTAATCACCACTTGATAACCTGTTTTATGTGCCAAGCATCCCTATCCTGTCCTCAAGTTTAAAATTATACTTCTCTGGCTGGAAGGGTTCTTATATGATTCATTAGTTCTTAACCTTTTTTGAGTTCAACCCTCTTTGAGAATCTGATGAAAGCTACGGAGTCTCCCTCCCCCATACTCCACTCTTGCAGGGAAAAGGGATGTAAGAACGCACAATTTTGCACACAATTTTTAAAAGTTCAAAGACACCTGAAGCAAATCCATGCAATCCAAGTTAGAAAGGACCACCATAAGTGAATGTTCCTAAGCCCTCAATTAACCTTTATAGAAAGTTAACCCCTGTAATCATTTAAAAATATGGCCCACCTCTACTTTATTAAACTATATTCTAAATGTTAATTTTATATTTCCTTAATGACTGAGGATCATTATGAACAATCACTGTGACATGCTTAATCCAAGAAACAGAAATAGGGCTATGTCCTTAAGAAGTCCTGGAAGGGGCGCCTGGGTGGCGCAGTCGGTTAAGCGTCCGACTTCAGCCAGGTCACGATCTCGCGGTCCGGGAGTTCGAGCCCCGCGTCAGGCTCTGGGCTGATGGCTCAGAGCCTGGAGCCTGTTTCCGATTCTGTGTCTTCCTCTCTCTCTGCCCCTCCCCTGTTCATGCTCTGTCTGTCTCTGTCCCAAAAATAAATAAACGTTGAAAAAAAAATTAAAAAAAAAAAAAGAAGTCCTGGAAAAGTGCTAAGCTCTGATTTACAAAGGTAATTTTATATTTACTGATCATGTACCCTTGGCTGTCTCCTCCCTTGTTTGTGTAAATTCTGACAGATCTCTCTCTTAATTCTGATGCAGTAACAGACCAGAAAAACGAGCTCGTTAACTGTTTATTTCCAATGCTGAGTCAAGGGACTCACCATTGTTGAGGGCAGCGGTGTGGTAAAAAAACATCTGGCAGCTTCCACTGTCCAGAGGCCTCTTCATGTCTACTTCCAATGTGTAGCTGTGCTCTGGCTGCTTCAGGTTGCCAGGAGCAAGCAAGCAGGATGAGGGGGGAATGCTTTTATCTCTTTAATAAAAAATTCTAGGGGTGCCTGGGTGGCTCAGTCAGCTGAGTGACTCGATTTTGACTCAGGTCACAATCCCAGGGTCATGGGATCAAGACCAGCATCAGAGTGCATGCTGAGTATGAAGCCTGCTTGGGATTCTCTCTCCTCCCCCCGCCTCTCTCCCCAGCTTGCATTCTCTAAAATTATAAAACTAAATGAAAATAAAATTCTAGGGGGCGCCTGGCTGGCTTAGTTGGGAGAGTATGCAACTCTTGATCTCAGGATTTTGAGTTTGAGCCCCAGGATGGGTGTAGAGAGATTATTCAAAAGTAAAATCCTAAAAAAAAAAAAAAATTCTAGCCATCCACTTTAACTATTAGATTATACAAATGAAAACTCATCTTTTTATCACTCCTTTCTACTGTAATCTTACTGATTTGAATCTTAATGATTTATGTAAAAAAAAAAATTTTTTTTTAACATTTATCATTGAGAGACAGAGACAGAGAGAGCATGAGCATGGGAGAGGCAGAGAGAGGGGGAGACACAGAATCCGAAGCAGGCTCCAGGTTCTGAGCTGTCAGCACAGAGCCTGACGCGGGTCTCAAACTCATAAACTGCGAGATCATGACCTGAGTGGAAGTCAGACACTTTACCGACTGAGCCACCCAGGTGCCCCTGAATCTTAAAGATTTAAAACAGACCTAATTCATATTAAATATGAATATATTTAATGCCCAAATTGTTGTTGTTTTGGTAGCAGAAATTTTATTGTGGGATGAAGACTTTTTTGCTCCTTTGATTTTAAAAGAAATCTGCCTGCAACCTGACAGAATTCACAGAAAGTTACAATTACCTACAGGTGAAGTGAGTTATGGAGGCATCACATCTTACAAAAATAAACTGCCAGGATCTGGGCTTTTGGGCTCAAATCCAAGAATTTTTGTCTTTGCGAACAACTGATATTTTTCTTATTTTTTTGTGAATATGGTTGAACAATGTGAATCCACTATATAAGCCAAGCACACATCAACAGGAATTAATGTGGGCTTCAGAGATACTGAATAAATGGTTTCATTTAGTTATAACAGTGAAATGTCTTCTTCAGGGTCTTGGTATCAGAATCTGTAATTGCTAATTCTGAAGGTGGAATTAGCTTATACTAAGAATTTATGTGAGATGAACACTTACATCTTCAAATTCAGTAAGAGATTTAGGAAACAAAGGATCACTCCTCCAATTCTAAGACTAAAATACATGTAAAATGGAGGCCTCAAAGGATCTCACATCATTGTGATAGGACAAAATCATCACTGAGGTGTTAAGTGACTCAATGAATGGGCCAGTGTTTGCTGTCATCACACTCTTGGTTCCATTTGTTACAGGGCATTGGATTAGTCTAAATCTCTGTTCCACACAAGTACTAACCTTGGACTGATAGTAACCAAGGCTTACAAGGACCACAAATAAAATGCAGACACCCAAAACCAGCCCTTTCACTGACAAAGTACTGTTCCCACGCTTGATATTCAAAGAGAGCTGTTTATAAATGTCAAGCCTTTCCTCTCCACATAAACATCGAGGTTAAATTACATAACCTTTATGTGCCCTAGTTTCCTCAGCTTTAAAATGGAGATGATAATAATAGTCCCTATCTTCATAGGATTAAATGAGAAGATTAAATGAGGTAATATAAGCACTTCGAAACACTGCTTGGCACATATAATGCTCTAAGTAAGCACTTGCATATTGTTACTTAGTAAAACAGCAAGTTATGAAATTAATATATCAAAACAATAGCTTTCCTATAGAAAAAATGTTTGAAAATAACATAAAAGATCCAATTCACATGGAATCACAAAAGAAAGATATTATGGAAATATACAGTACCTATATGAGGAAAATAAAGGTTCTGAAGGTTATAAAGACTTAGGTAAATAAAAAGACATTATATATTCCTAAATTTCAAATTTCAATATTATAGGGGTGTCAATTTTTCCTAAATTAACCTACAAATTTACTGCAATCCTAATAAAAATACCAAAATAACTTGTGGTATTAACAAAATGATACTAAAGTTCATTTAGAAAAATGTAATAGCCAGAAAATTTCTGAAAAGTAACAGTGATTTAGGTAGAGATTATATCTATCACACATTAAAATACAGCATGAATTAAAATAGGGAAAAATACAAACTAATGGTCAATAAAACAGAATTCAGAAACAGACCAAAATGCAAATAAAGTCTATGATAAAGGTAGTATTTCAGACTAGTTGGGGAAGGAGAAATTGCCCAATAAAATCTGTACAATATCTGGGTATTTAAGAAGAAAGCTGGATCTCTATTAAATAATATATCAGTCAGGGTTCACTGTAGGAACAGAAACTCTGCTAGGTATTTCAAAGAACGGGACTGAATATAGGTCCTTAAAAATCAAGAGAAAAAGCTGCAGGGGCAGAAAGTGGGGGCCAACAGGTTTTAAATTTTTTTTTTAATTTTTATTTTGAGAGAGAGAGAGAGAGAGAGAGAGAGAGAGAGAGAATTTCAAGCAGGTTCTGAGCTGTCAGCACAGAGCCCAACTTCACAAACTGTGAGATCATGACCTGAGCTGAAATCAAGGGTCGGACACTTAACTGACTGAACCACCCAGATATGCCCCAGCCAACATGCTTTTAGACTCAAGGTTATATCACCTTCTGTGATCCAGAGAATATAAATTCAGTGCTGCTACTGCCACCAGCATTGCCTCATGCCCATGCAGCAGGTGACAGACACTAAAACATGGAGTCTGGTTGCTACAAACTTCAGGTGGCAGGAGCTTGCTTATCCACTAGCACAGCCGTGGTAGATGGTCTCTACCTTCCAAATATTGACCAAATGCAAATCTCTGGCAGAACCTAACCTGTTCAGAACGAACCCTACTTACCTTGGAGTCTACAAAACTTCATTTTTGGCCTTTCATCCCCTTTGGTATGAGATGGGGAGGCATGGGACATAATGTCAAGTGCTAAGAGACTGTACCTAGCATATATTCTCACACTAAAGTCAATTCCAGATGGATGAATTATCTGTAAAAATAAAATAAACATTGAAATGTTCCAGAAGAAAGAGTGAATGACTTTATAATATTGAGCGTAAGAAGTATTTCTAAGTACAACATATAATACCAAAGCCATAAAGGAAAAGTGATGGATTTACTACATAACGGTCATACCTATCAGCACAGTTGACCCTTGAACAACATAGATTTTTTTAGATAAATACAGTACGGTATTGTAAATTATTTTCTCATTATTTTCATTCATTCATTCATTCATTCATTCAGAGAAAGGGAGAGAACGCAGAGGCAGGGGAGGGGCAGAGAAAGAGGGAGAGAGAATAGAATGCCAAGCAGGCTCTGTGTGCTGTCAGCACAGAGCCCAATGCAGGGCTTGAACCCTAAGCCAAAATCAAGAGTTGGACACTTAACCAACTTGAGCCACTCAGGCTCCCTGTTTCTCATGATTTTCTTAACACTTTTTCTCTCATTTACTTTATTGTAAGAATACAGTATATAATATATATAACACAAAATGTGTGTTGACTGCTTACGTTATTGCTAAGGCTTCTGGTCAACAGTATGCTATTAGTAGTTAAGTTTTTGAGGAGTAAATGCAGATTTTCAATTGCGTGGTTGGGGAGGGTGGGGGTCAGTGTCCATAAACCCATGCTGTTCAAGGGTCAGCTAGATTTTATTTATTTATTTATTTATTTATTTATTTATTTATTTATTTTTATGTTTTATTTATTTATGAGACAGAGAGAGACAGAGCATGAATGGGGGAGGGTCAGAGAGAGGGAGACACAGAATCTGAAATAGGCTCCAGGCTCTGAGCTGTCAGCACAGAGCCCGAAGTGGGGCTCGAACTCACGAACCGCGAGATCATGACCTGAGCCGAAGTCGGCTGCCTAACCGACTGAGCCACCCAGGTGCCCCAGGGTCAGCTAGATTTTAAACGCACAAATACTTTGACCAGCTATGCCATTGCTAGAAATTTATATTATAAAAATTTGAGTGTTTGCGAAGGTTATGTACCCAAATAATGCAGCATTATATATAAGCAAAACTCTGAAGATGAGTAATATATAAAATTATGGTCCCTAATGTGACAACACTAGGAGGACAGGTTGAAAGAGGTATTTGAAATGAAGACATTCCTTTTGTGTAATACCTGTGCAAACACATCCTTATATTATCCAACCTATACAAATATTACATTGTTTTTATAGAATATCAACCCAGGCTATCTTGATGGGAAGATTATGGTGCATTCTTTTTTTTTTTTTTTTTTGTAACTCTCTGATTTAGAATTTTTAAGTTCCCAACTTCCCTCTCCTCCCCTGCCCCCAAAAAGATAATTTTTGTAACTATACATTTATTTTCTCTTAGAATATTCACAATTAATTTTGGCTTTCTAATTTAAACATACGTGATTCTGAAATTACATAAAATTGTGTTCTTTAGAAGTATCTGGGAAGACAGTATACACTGTGAAATTATTTCTATTAATGACAATACTATTTTACACATAAAAGAAATTATGAATTTCAAATGGAAAAAAACCTGCACTTATAGAAAATCATTCTATCATACACACACTTAAAGTTTTTACTTTTACTACCTTTTCACTTAAAATAATTCTTTCCCAAAAAACTATATTTCAGTATAAGACAGATAAGCATCTGGTAAGTAATTAATATGTACATAGGTAGTTGTGAAAAATTACCCACAATTCTAATATATTCAGTTCCAAAGGAGAAAAATTTCCTTTTAGAAAGCATTTTAACATTTCTTCTCATCATCTACAAAGCAACAACACTATTTAAATTATTAAACATGGCAAATCCAAAGATATGTAATCATAAAGTCCCTTAAGAAGTATGTTTGAAAAATCATTATTCCATAAAATATTTACAGTGTTAAATTACATGGTAGCAACCTTGTCTTGATCTATTTTAGTTGAACATATTAATAAGAATCTCCAAAAAAAAAAAAAATCCCTATTCATCCTTAATTAAGGAGACTTTATCCTTGGGTTTATTCAGCATCTTTATATCATCCAAAAGCTTTCTGGGTGTTAAAATATGCGTAGAACCTGGTAGGAGAAAAGATAAATTTTCAGAGGCCAGCACTTAAATAGATTCTTCTTGGTTAATTATATTGCCCTGTCCCTCAAATTTGCAAAGTGCCATAGCTTGGAGCAATTTAGCAAAATTTCTATAGGACACGTTCCCGAAATCTGCCTATACCACAAAATTTCACGTCCTTCCTCTTCATTGAACAGTAGGCTTAATAATTCACTCCTAGGGCTCTGTCTTCTTTGTGCTATATATTGATATGCTGAACAGCAAAACTGGAAGTTATTCTATCCCTGTGGCAGAACACGATAGTCACTGTTCAACCACAGGATCATTAAGCAGTGCTCTAGATTTAGACCTGGTGTACAAATGTTGCATTCCATAGACGAGGAGAGGTTATATATCAGTGGCTTTGATAAAATTCTTAAAACTAAATTCCACACAAGACTTGCCAATGTCACATCCACAAAAACATTCAAAATATTTCTGTAATAAAAATGTATGTCTCAAAATTTATTTCATAAGAGCAGAACATAATATTTTAAAAGATACTTAATATTTAAATCATATAGTATCTTGAAGCTTATTCCTTCAAAATCAGAGTATTTAAAAATCAAATTATCAAAAAGGTCAACCAGGAAAAACTAGTACATCACATAAAACACACTATGATTAATACCTTTTTGCCCTGAACAATTAGTCTTACATATAAAATACAACATAAAGTTTTACATATATATTCTTGCATTTGGAGTTTGTTTAAAATAAAATTGAAAAGTGGAAAAAAAAAGACTTACCAATAATAACTTCACAGGATTTATGTGCCTGAGAAACTTCATAAGCACAACGCATTTCAGAGTATGTAATTCCTCCAATTACAAAAACAATCAGTTTTGAGCCATTTTTCCTGTCCTCTAAATAATTAGCTCTGGGCTTCTGGCGAGCACTAAAAAATAAACACAAACATGTTAAAAACATTTCCAAAACCATAGTGCTTGTAGATTTCTTAAAAAGGCTAATTCAAGCAAACTCAAATTTGGCACCAACTACACTGATTTTATGGAAATGACTTAACTATGGTATGACTGGAGGATCAAGAATTAGATAGGACAGCCCCACTTCAAGTTTAATTTTGATCAGGGGTGCCTGGCTGGCTCAGTTGGAAGATGGTGCAACTCTTGGAATTCTCTCTCCCTCTCTCTACCCCTCCCCTGCTCACTCTCTCTCTCAAAATAAATAAACTTAAAAAAAAAAGTGGGGGGATGCCTGGATGGCTCAGTCGGTTAAGCACCTGACTTCAGCTCAGGTCATGATCTTGCAGTTTGTGCATTCAAGCCCTGCAATGGGCTCTGTGCTGACAGCTCAGAGCTTGGAGCCTGCTTCAGATTCTGTGTCTCCATCTCTCTCTGCCCCTCCCCTGCTTGTACTCTCTCTCTCTCTCTGTCTCTTTCAAAAATAGATTAAAAAAAAAACATTTTTTTTTTAAAAGAGTGGTCTCTGAGGGCTCTCATAAAAAATAAAATATAAAATAAAAAATAAAATAAAACTCTATATACCTGAAAAGTCTATGACTTTCTGGAGTCTTTAAAACCCTCTTGCTTCAGTGCCACTTTCCCCATTTTTTTTAACTTCACAAAGTCACAGACTTCTCAGGTATATTATTTCTTCATATGAAATAAATGAGAGTGTCAGCTGTATTTATAGGTATAGGGAGGGAGGCACAGGTATGGATTTGCAGTTGATGTGGTACTGGAACATTCTATGCTGGAACTCACTGAAGTATGATGGCAGGAGATATTGAAGATATATCTGTACTTTTGTGTTACCTGCAGCATTATTCACAATAGTGACGATAGAGAAAACACTTAAATGTCTGCTGGTAGAGAAATGGATAAAGAAAATGTAGTGTATATATCCAGTGGAATATTATTCAGCCTTAAAACAAAAAAAAAAAAAAAAAAAAAAAAAAGGAAATTCTGCTAATGGCAACACGGATGAACCTGCAGGGCATTACGCTAAGTGAAATTACATTGGACTCAAAGACAAACACTGCATGATCTCACTTCTCTGTGGAATATGAAACAAATTCACAGAAGCAGAGAATAGATTACTGGCTGCCAGGAGTTGGGGGTGGGAAAGGGAAATGAGGTAGTGTTGATCAAAGGACACAAAGTTTCAGTTATGCAAGATGAATTAATTCTGGAGACCTAATGTACTGCCTAGTGACTATAGTTAACAAAAATTATATTGTATATTGAAATTTGCTAAAAGGTTAGATCTTAAATTATTAAATTAAGCCTTCTCACCCCCCCACCTCCCCACACGCATGCGAAAGAAAATGATAACTTTGTAAAGGTAATAGATACATTAATTAGCTTGTGGTGATCATTTACAATGTACATGTATCAAAATACCAAACTGTAGCTCTTGAATATATACAGTGTTTCTAATTCAATTACACCTCAATAAAGTTGTTTAAAAAAAAAAAAGATAAAAGGAGTTAGACCTGGGTTACAACTCTGATTCTGTTGCTTTCTAATTCAATTGCACTTTTCAGCAAGTTACGGAACTTCTTTCTAAACTTCAAGGGCTGTTTCCGGGTTAAATGAAAAAATGTACAGGATACACAAAGTATGCAATCTGGTACCAAGGAAACACTCAATAAATAATAGCTATTATTTATATGTCACTTCCTCCCCCAGATTGCTCTAGATCTGCACTGTCCAATACAGGAGCCACTAGCTCCATGAGGCTATTAAAATTTTTTTAAAGTTTATTTATTTATTTATTTTGAGAGAGGGAGAGAGAGAGAGAAAGAGAGTGAGCGAGCGTGAGTGGGACAGGGGCAAAGAGAGAGAATACCAAGCAGGCTCTGCACTATCAGCACAGAGCCTGATTCAGGGCTCGAACCCATGAACCATGAGATCATGACCTGAGCCAAAACCAAGAGTCAGACGCTCAACCGACTGAACCACCCAGGTGCCCCAAAGCTACTTAAATGTAATTAAAATTAAATAAAATTAAAAATTCAGTCATACTAGCCACATATCATGTGCTCAACAGCCATATGTGGCTAGTGACTATCATACTATAGAGGACAGATATATGACATTTCCATTACTGCAAGAAAGTTCTACTGGATAGCACTGCTATTCACAGGAATCATGTTCCCACACTTCACTAGTAAAAATTTTGAGCTTCTACTTCAAAAGTAAATATTTCAAAATAAAATTTTTCTACATCTAGGGGCGCCTGGGTGGCTCAGTTAGTTAAGTGTCCGACTTCGGCTCAGGTCATGATCTCATGGTTTGTGGGTTTGAGGCCCTGCATCAGGCTCTGTGCTGACAGCTCAGAGCCTGGAGCCTGCTTCTAATTCTGTGTCTCCCACTCTCTCTGGCTCTCCCCGACTCATGCTCTGTCTCTCTCTCAGAAATAAATAAACATTAAAAAAATTTTTTTTAAATTATATGTGTATTGGTGCATATTAATAAAGCTTTCATTTCTCCCTCTTTTGTAAAAATAAATACCCTCAAATCATCTTGTCACCCACTTTGGAGACCATGTTCTAGAGGACCTCTAAGATCCTGCAATGTAGGATCCCATAGTAAACTTTTAATAATGTTCTTGTCTACATCATTTCCATCTGACATCTTAAGGAATGACGAAGGCGTCAACAACAGAAAAAAAAAGTAAGAATCAGTAACTGGTTTTGAAAGATGAAACAGGAATTAAGATACACTCATGATTCCCATATAAGATACATCAAGGAGATACTAAAAGTGCAATTTTGGTTTAAAAACTGTTTCCAAAGTAAGAGAATTAGAGTAAGGAAGGAAAAAAAAAAAAAAAAAAAAAAGGAAGAAAAATGGGATCATGCTGCTCAAAACAATTATGTGGTTCTAACAATTTTTAAACTTCTGAATAGCAGTTTTGAGGGATTATATTTAATTTGTTTCACATATATGTATAAGATGCTGTGCTAGTGTTTTACATTCTGATAGATTAAACAAATTGTAATTAAAATCCCTAGATCCTAAAAATCTCACTCTAGAAAGCATCTAGAAGCTTTGGTTAAAATAAGAGTGAAACTCTTTTTAAAAGCACAGCTGAAAGTAAACAAGTAAGAGAAATCTCCCAAAGGCCAGCAGTAAAAAGGAAGCTAAAAACTAGGCTGGTAAACTGAGTTGAGGCTTGGTCTGCCTTGTAGAATGTTAGCTTAATCTTGGCAAACAAAGATGTTTACCAGTTTAATGAACAAAGGAGACAAAACCTTAGGTATTGTGCAAAGTAGGGTCTGGGAGTTGACACCCCTGCATTACATAAGATCATGACATTCATTTGTTCTACAGTATGGTATGTTTTCATATTGCTTACCTAGACTCATTTAAAACAGGTCACAGTTAAAGAAAAACTGTCTTTTAAGTCACTATTCTTCCAGAAGAATTCTCAAAATAAGAGTACTTCTCAATGTAAGAGTACTTTCAATTATTAGTCTATAGTATCATACTTCTATAGCTTTTACCTTACAGCCCCTGAGCCATTCCATACTGCTGGACACTGGGAACAATATGGCCATTCTTTTGAATCTAATCTATTATCGATGGCATCCTAGGGAAGAAAAAAATTAACACCATCAAAAAAATGTAAATTCCAGGATTTTTTTCTTAATATTTATTTTTGAGAGACACAGAGACAGAACACGAGCCAGGGAGGGACAGAGAGAGAGGGAGACACAGAATCCAAAGCAGGCTCCAGGCTCTGAGCTATCAGCACAGAGCCCAACACGGGGCTTGAACCCATGAACCATGAGATCATGACCTGGGCCGAAGTGGGACACTGAACCGACTAAGCCACCCAGGTGCCCCCTCCAGGATTTTTTATTTGTATGTTTTACATAAAACTCAAAATTTGTGTTAACAATTAAGGAACCTCAAGATATATAAATATTTAATAAAATAAGGTTAACCCTCTCTCTGAAACTTACAAACCTTACTTGCTTCAAAAATTAATGCAATCCTTTATTTACTTATTAAATTAACATTTACTGAATGTCTAAGTTTCATTTGGAGGGTCTACTGGTGTAAGGATTACAGAGACTTTATCAAAACCTTTATCTCTAGAGCACTACAGGTTTCTAAATACCATCCTAGTCCTGACATACCTCTTAGGCTACTGGAGAGTCCAGGTTTTGCCCTTCATTGCAATGGCTCTAAAATAAAATGTGCGCTCCTGACCTAGGGGTAATCAAGACAATCCAAGGGGATGAGAGAAGTTTTCCTTTATGTTAAAAAAAATTTTTTAAGGGTTACATTTTATGATATACTTATATGTATGGGTATACTATATACATACATTATGCTTTATCAGTACAGTAATGCATACTTCACAAATAGTTCATATGCTAACTCATGTTCATAATTTTTATAGTTAAGTGTACATGATTAAAACAGTTTGGAGACCACTGCTTTACAGCATGGTAGTATAATAGGTATCAGTAGGTGGGCACAAGGAATGAGCACAAGGTACTGAGTAGTCCAAGAATATTTCATTAAGATTGTAAGAAGCCTAGCTTGCATGTAACTAAGTAAGTAAAGTAACTAAATAAATAAATACATACATAAAAAGATTGTAAGAAGCAAAGAAACCAAGTTTCAGGAGAAATCTTGAGGGCCTTAGAATGTCACTGAGCCAAAAATAGACCATTTTTTAATTAACATGCAAATCCTTGTTACAGGGTTCAGGATAGTCAATTCTCACTTTAAAAGTACTAGCCAAGGGCCACCTGGGTGGCTCAGTCAGTTAAGTGTCTGACTCTTGATTTTGGCTCAGGTCATGAACTCAAGGTTCAAGAAATCAAGCCCTTTGTCAGGCTCTCTGCTGGCAGGGCCGAGCCTGCTTGGGATTCTCTTTCTCTGTCCCTCCCCTGCTCACGCTCTCTTGCTCTCAAACATTAAGAAATATATTTTTTTAAAGTACTAGCCAAGAAAGACTACTTAATTCTACATCCTTGTTATGGATAGGGAAAAAAATCGTATGCTATATAACAAAGTCTAAATTCTTTAAACTTTTCATCTATGTTAAACATGTATGAATGACATAAAATTAGCCAAGCAAAACAGGAAAATCATAGTAATAAATTATAAACATTTAGTTCCCAAAGCAAAATAGAAATTGGGGTTTAAGTCAAAGGAAAATTGGAATAAATAGAACTATATGATTATAACTGAAGAATCAATGCCATGATTTTATTGTTCATAATATAATTTTTATTAGTTCATTTTCTAATTTCCTATAAATGAATATTAATTTCTAAAAGGAAACAGTATTAAAGGCATAAACCATCTGTTGGATATAACAGCAAACTACAATTTACAATTTACAGTTTAATATCACAAATACATTTCCAAGAATACTAGAGTGTAACTTTTTTTTAATGTTTATTTTTGAGAGAAAGAGACAGAGTGTGAGCACGAGAGGGGCAGAGAGAGAGAGGGAAACACGGAATCCGAAGCAGGCTCCAGGCTCTGAGCTGTCAGCACAGAGCCCGACGCGGCGCTTGAACTCATGAGCCGTGAGATCATGACCTGAGCTGAAGTCGGGCTTAACTGACTGAGCCAGCTAGGTACCCCTGGAGTCTAACACTTTCTAACAGTGGTAACATACAAATGTTATTTTGTTGAACTTTCATTCAAATAAATTATTTATATTTATGCTACCTAGAGTTATTAAAACAATAGTTTTTTTCATAAGGCAGTATGTGTACTTATTTTTATCTTGAGGCCATTAGTGTGTAAGTTTGTTTGATATCTTCACAGAAAGAATCTTCAAGTTTCCTTTCTTCCCCTGACCCCAGATACAGCCTTCTTTTGTGAACTCTCCCAGTAGTGCAGAAAATTCCTGACCCATAGATATGCTCAGACTGACAAATATACAAAGAGTAAAGAATACTCTACAGAAAGGCGCTTAGCGTATAAGTAAAATTTAATGAATTATACCTCCAAAATATCTTTGATAAAAGGTGTCCATCGGGAGAGTTGAAAAGTTTCTTCTGTAGACCTATCCTTTCTTAATGGTTTGCCTTGTTGAGACTAATACAAATAGAGGAAAAAATTAAAAACCAGTAATTTTATTTAGTAATATTCACTTATTACATTTTCTTAAAAACATACATAATTTACAGCAAATACTATGTGTATTTGACTTAGAACTAAGAGTGGAAATGCTTACTCAAAAAAAATCTGAATAGGAGTGGTCACAAAATTTCACAGTATTTTGTGCTCTCATGATAAAATTTGTAATAGTATCAGAAACTATATTTACTCAAAAGTGCTATAAAACTTGATGGTAAAGACTGGGAGTCTAAACAGAATTCTTTCAAAATTTGCTATAAATGAATCATACAGAAAAGTATAAGAGCAAATTACAACAGAAAACAAAAGATACAAATTCACTAGAAAATGTACAAATTACTCATATACAGAAAATAAAATTAAAATTTTTCTACTTACCAAATCTATCGAGTGAAATTAAGACTATCCACATGGATTTCCCATATGAGGAAACATATTTAATGTAAACACACACATGCATGTATATGAGTATATACCAAATGTAAGATTTCTTACTGGGGGGACAATGGGAACACCAAGGTAACTCCAGTTACGGATCATGTCACTCTCATTTTCTATCTTTACATTCTGGATCAACCTGTCCAAATTTTCTTCTGTAGTTCCTTAGATAAAAATATATGAGTGAACAGTCACATAATTGCTACCACAATCATCTCTAGGTTTCAGGTAGTACCCATTAATAAAGCTTTTTAAATAAAAAACAAATGTTTAATTACATACCCCCTTTGGTGTTCTCCCAATTTCCTATTTTTCTTTATGTTTATCTTAACCAACTTCAGCTACTATCTTTGAATTTTCTAAGACTTTCTTATGATGAATAGTGAAGTACTTAATTATAAAGTGATTTTAGAGCTGAGTATTTCAATATATTCGTGAAATAAAGTCTCAATTACCATTAATACTGAAGATGTAAAGTAGAATCGCTCTTATTTTATCGTAATTATCATGATTTTTGTTGAGTAGAACTGGAAGAAGTACTCGCATAGAATCTTTCACTTTCTGTCCTTCTGCATCAGTTCCAAGTGCCAGGTCCTTAATGAAAATTAAATATAGTCAGCGGCCTATAATCCAAATTCATTTTTTTAATTAAAAACATCTTAAACCCAAGGGTGCCTGGCTGGCTCAGTCAGTAGAGTGTGAGACACTTGATCTTGAGGTTGTAAGTTCAAGTCCCATGTTGGATGTAAAGATTACTTAAAAATAAAATCTTTTAAAAAATACCTTAAATTATGCCAAATTTTAATGTAACACTGATGATACTTCACAAAAAAGCAGGCATCACTTGTAAACTATTGACTGTCTAAAATATAAAAAGTCAAAAAATAATTCAAAGAAAATCAATCTAAACCTATGCTAATATGGTAGCCTTGAGCCACATGTGGTCAATGAGCATTTGAAATGTGGCTAGACTAAATTAAGATGTGCTTACAAGTGAAAACACCAGATTCTGAAGACTCAGTTTTTAAAAAGGAATGTAAAATATTTCACTAATAATTTTATATTGATTACATGTTGAAATAACATTTTGAATTTATTATGTTAGGTCAAGTATATTACTAAAATTAACTATACGTGTTTCTTTTTACGTTTTAACATGATTACAGCTGACCCTTGAACAACACAGGTTTGAAGTGTGTGGGTCCACTTATACATGGATTTTTCCTTTTCCTTTTTTTTTTTTTTTAAGTTTATTTATATTTAGAGAGAGAGAGACAGAGAGAGTGAGCAAGCATGAGTGGGGGAAGAACAGAGAGGGAGGGAGAGAGAGAATTCCAAGCAGGTTCTGTGCTGACAAAGCACAGAGCCTGACACAGTTTGTGGGTTTGAACCCACAAACCCTAAGATCATGACCTGAGCCAAAATCAAGAGTTAGATGCTTAACTGACTGAGCCACTCAGGCACCCTGGATTTTTTCAATAAATATAGCACAGGACTTTATTTTTATTTTTTTTTTAGTTTTTATTTAAATTCCAGTTATTTAACATACAGTGTAGTATTAGTTTCAGGTGTAGAATTATGTGATTCATCATCACTTAAATACAATACCCAGTGTTCATCATAACAAGTGCCCTCCTTAATATCCATGACCCATCTAGCCCATCCACCCACTCCCCTCCCCTCCCCTCCAGTTAACTATCAGTTGTTCTCTAAGTTTCTTGGTTTGCCTCTCTCTATTTCCCTTCCCCATCAATGTTCATTTGCTTTGTTTCTTAAATTCCACATATGAATGAAATCATATGGTATTTGTCTTTCTTGGACTTATTTTGTTTAGCTTAATAGTCCCTTGCTCCATCCACATTGTTGCAAATGGCAAGATTTCATTCTTTTTTTTATGGCTGGGTAATATTCCTGTGTGTGTGTGTATACACACACACACACACACACACACCACTTCTTTATCCATTCCTCAGTCGATGGACACTTGGGCTCTTTCCATAATTTGGCTATTGTTGAACATGCTATAAATACTGGGGTGTATGTGGCCCTTCGAATCAGTATTTTTGTATACTGTGGGTAAATACCTAGTAGTGCAATTGCTAGATCATGGGGTAGTCCTATTTTTAACTTTTTGAAGAACCTCCATACTGTTTTCCAGAGTGGCTGCACCAGTTTAGCACAGCACTTTTATTTTATTTCATTTTAATTAATTAATTAATCAATTTAGAGGGAGAATGTATGTGTGAATGTGCAGGCACATGAGTGGGGGAGGGGTAGAGAGACCACAACCTGAGCCAAAATCAAGAGTTGGACGCTCAACTGAGCCACCCAAGCACCCCAGCACAGTACTTTAAATGTATTTTCTCTTATGATTTTCTTAGAAACATTTCATTTTCTCTAGCTTACAATATCATAAGAATACAGTATATAATATGTATAACATATAAAATATGTATTAATCAACTGCTTATGTTATCAGTAAGGCTTCTGGCCAACAGATGTTATTAGTAGTTAAGTTTTGGGGGAATCAAAAGTTATACATGGATTTTTTACTGTGTGGGCGGTCAGGGCCCCTGATCCTTGTTCAAGAGTCAACTGTACTATAATATTTAAAATTACATGGGGTATCTGGATGGCTCAGTTGGTTAAGCATCTGACTCTTGGTTTTGGCTCAGGTCATGATCTCACGGTTTGTGGGTTTGAGCCCTACATCAGGCACTGTGCTGATGATGCAGAGTCTGCTTGGGATTCCCTCTCTCCCTGTCTCACTGCCTCTCTTTCTCTCTCTCTCAAATAAACATTAAAAAAATTAAAATCACATATGGTTTGCATTCTATTTCTCTTTGCACTAAATAGTTTGGCATTAAAGAGGGGCCTCTAAAACAAGTTAAATGTGCCAATGCAGTACTCTGCAGGATGCTGCATTAAATGTTGTACCTACTGAGAAAGGCCTGCCAACAGTGCTACTCTGAAACAATGTTCTAAATACTTAAATTATTCCATTTAACCAAAAACGCATAATCACAGATTAGGAGGAACTGCTTACTATGATACTTATAGCTACATGATAATGTTGGTGAATAGTGATGTATTTAAATACTGCCTAGTTGAGATTTTGTGGTTTAGCACACCTTACAAAGTTCATTCCGGAAATGTATTAGGACATATGTATTTCTCACTCTGCACATACCTGTTCACTTTTGCAGAGCTTTTCTATATTAGGCTTGAATTTATTCATGCAATCTTCTGCTAAGTTAAGATGGACAACTTGCTGAAAAACAAATCAATCATTTAAATCATTTTAATTTCTTTTTAAGCAACTGATAATACTAAACTTGTAAGATGGGCCTGAAGGAAATTATGGGCTTAGGCAGAAAGTAGGTACCGTGTAAAGCAAGGAAAATAGCTCAAGAAAAAGAAAAAAGTGACAATTAACATGGTCCACAAGAGACAATCAACAGACAGCAAAAAACAGAAGGGTTGAGTATGTGTTGGGTTTAAGAGTAATGAAAAAGAAGCAGAGAAAGAAAAACAGCTAAGTCCTTAAAGTTTGAATTTATATTATTGGTTCTTGATTAGGGTGCCATATGATAAAAAATGAGTTAAAATTATTCTGATAATGACTCATAAGAGAGAATGATACACCACTACCAACAACAACAAAAGTTTACCTACCAACGTGGCTTAACTGCTCTTAACTACTAACACATAACTATTAAGGAACCAAGTAGAGTAACAACCAATGGTCAATCCAATATTAAATTTTCTTATTAAGTTGATAAATACAAAATTCTCTGTCTGGCTGTTCAAGACAAAGGTATAAAAAGTTTAAGCTGAATTTGGATGAATCTACATTATATACAGAGAATACTACTGAGAAGCTTAAGTATTTGGAAAATTTCCCAGACCTAGACTAAAATTTTAGAGGTTAACTAACACCAACTATCCCATGACACCCACTACTAAACCTGACTATAGAACTGGACGACTAATAAACTAAAAATGATAAAGTATCTCATGTACAATACTGCTTACCTTAGTAATCTGTTTACGGAAATGGGGCATCTTTTTCATCAGTTGCGCAAGAGCACTAAGTGATGTCTAGAAAAAAATCAAACATTTTTAAAGCAAACTTATAATTCTGGTATTTTATATAAAAATTTTTAAATCTTGTAGTTTTATTGTTACTTTTCTAAGTATTTGGCAAATTAAAAAAATTCAAGAGGCTTCCAGTTTCAGTCACAATAAAGTAGCTAATTTCAAAATTATTCTACCTCCATAAACAAAAATAGAATTGGACAAAGTAAATAAGACAACTCTCAGGCAATGGCTAAGAAAAACTGCTCACAGCTAAGATACGTAAGCAGAAGAAAGCACTGAAGGCGATCCCTGCACTTACCCTAGCTTTTCCCTTGAGCACTTTAGAAAACATGGTGAAAGGAAATAGAATTCAACTAAAAAGCACTAGTCTCTCCAGGCAGAGGAAAAAGAGGTCAGAGTTTGGGGCTGGTGAGATAGGGTTTGGGGGGGCAGGGTGCTAGGAAAGAGCCAGTCACAACATAACTCAAAGATATAACTCAAAGAAGGGTTGTCTTTGGATCCCTGGCCAAACACCAACCTGCACATGTAAAGGGCAAAACTTTTAAAGGTCTAACACAGAGGGGCACCTGGGTGGCTCAGTTGGCTAAAAGCATCCAACTTTGGCTCAGGTCATGATCTCACGGTTCGTGGGTTTGAGCCCCACGTGAGACTCTGTGCTGACAGCTCAGAGCCTGGAGCCTGCTTCGGATTCTGTGTCTCCCCCTCTCTCTGCCCCTCCGCTGCTTGCGCTCTGTCTCTGTCTTTCAAAAATAAATAAAACGTGAAAAAAAACTTCAAAAAAAAAAAAAAAAGGCCTACCAGAGAACAATGGTGGGTGCCTAAATGCTGAACAGAGATTTCAGAGGGGTCTTAGTGCTAAGAAAATACTGGCATTCTCTGATCCGAAGAAGACAGTGTTAAGGGAATATCCCCAGAGATTAAGTTCTAGTCTAGGACTATGTCTCTGAACTAAAGGAAATATGCTAACCATAACAGTGCCTGACATGAAGTGGCAACAAAATTAAGATTATTCATCAGCAAATTAAATCCCTGCCAGAACAGAACTCAATACTCTTTGCAGGGAGAACATCATCTAGAGCTTCTGCAATGTAATCTGTGATGTCTAACATACACGAAAATATTACTGGACATATAAGACAAAAAAAGTGATCAATATTGAATAGTAAAAGTAGACTCAAGACAAAGAAGATGCGGTATATATACACAATGGGATACTACCAGATGTAAACAAAGAATGACATCTTGCCGTTTGCAACAACATGGATGGATCTAGAGGGTATAATGCTAGTGAAATAAGTCAGAGAAAGACAAATATCATATGATTTCACTCATGTGGAATCTAAAAAACAAAAGAGCAAAGAAGAGACAAACCAAAAAAACCAGACTCTTAACTGCAGAGAACAAACTGATGGTTACCAGAGAGAACATGGGTGGAGGGATGGGTGAAACAGGTGAAAGGGATTGAACACTGAATCATATATGGAATTGCTGAATCACTATACTGTATACCTGAAACTAATATAACACTGTACGTTAACTATACTGGTATTAAAAAAAAAAAAAGGTAGACCCAGGACAATCCAGATGTTGGAGTTAGCAGACAAGGAATTCAAAAATAGCATATTTATGTTAAAGAAAACAGGAAAAGATGGACTAAATGGATAAAAAGATACAGTACTTCAATAGAAAATTAGAATTTATTTTAAAAATTCAATGGATGTCTTGGAACTAAATGCGATATTAGAAATCAAAAACATAGTGATTCCTTTACAGTGCTGGAGGGACTATAAAATAGTACAGCCACAGTATTTCGGAATTTTCTTATGAAGTTAAACATATATTTACTGTATGGCCCAGCAATCTCACCCTTAATTGTCTACCCAAGAGAATGAAAACATCTTTTTACACAAAACCTGAATGTTTTATAGTGGCTTTATTCATAGTTGCCAACAACTTGAAAAAAATTTCAATGTTCAGCAAGATGGGAATAGATAAACACAGTGGAGTACTTCTAAGCATTAAAGGGTAAAACCACTGTTACAGCCAACATGAATGTCAAGTGCATTATCGTAAATGAGAAAAGTCATACTGTATTATTCCATTTAGATGACATTCTAGAAAAGGCAAATCCACAGAGACAGAAAACAGATTAGTGGTTGCCAGGAGATCAGAGTTGTATACAGAGGTTGTCTACAAAGAGGCACAAGGGAATTTGGGGGAGGTGGTGGAACTATTCTATAACTTGACTGTAGTTATATGATCATATGAATTTGTCAAAACGAATAGAATTTTATACTATAGAGAGAAAACTTTACAAATCACTTAAAAATAATACATAGAATGGGTTTAACAGCATGCTGGACACAAAAGAGACAGAAATAGGAGACTCAAAGGTTAACAGAAAATATTCAATTAAAGTAGAGAGGGAAATATGGGGGGAAAAGAACAGAATATAAAAGATGTGGAATATGGTAAAAAAAAAAAAAAAAAAAAAAAATCTCTAAAACACAAGTGAATGGAGTCCTAGAAGGAAAGGAGAAAGATTAGGACAAACATGAGGAAATAATGACAAAGAATTTTTACAAATATGATGAAAGTTATTAATCAGTGATTTAAGAAGCCCAACAAACCCAAGGAAGATACATATTATATATATATATTATATACATTATACACATTATAGTAAGAAATATGATGGCTAAATTGTTAAAAATCAAAGATAAAGGGAAAATCTTCAAAAAACCACTTTATCTTCAGGAAGATAACATGACAGCTGCTTTCTTTAATATAAAATATGGTGGCCAGAAGGTGATGTTTTACAATCTTCACATTGCTGAAAGGAAAACTGCTAACCTTTCATTTTAAATGCAGCAAAAGTGTAGCTGAAAAGCTTACAAAACAAAGATAACCTCAGATAAAACAAAAATTGAGATAATTCATCTGGCCCTTAGAAAAACTGAAGAGTTATAAGGAATAAGTAACAATACATCTCATAAATATGAGGGCAATATAAAAGTCTATTGAGAATTTAAATAATAACAACTTAAGTTTATAAACACATGTTAAAGTAAAATACACGACGATAATGGCACAAAAGAGGAAGGAGGAAAATGTAGTTAAACTTTTACAAGGCTCTTGAATTCTTCAGGACATGGCAAAAGTATACTTACTTTAAGGTAGACTGTGATAATACATTTAGTAATACCTAGCATAATGACTATAAAAAGGATACTAAAAGATAAAACAAATTTATATTGGAGATAAAATGGAATAACTAAAAAAAAATACAATACATAAAGGTGACAGAAAAGAAAAAGACAAAAGGACAAAACAAATAGAAACAAGATGGTAGACATAAACTCAACTATATCAATAATTATATGAAATATTTATGGACTAAACATTTCAATTAAAGACAAAATTGTCGGGGTACCTGGATGGCTCAGCTGGTTAAATGTCTGGCTCCTGGTTTTGGCTCAGGTCATGATCTCACGGTTTTGTGGATTTGAGCCCCGCATCAGGCTCTGTGCTGACAGTAGGGAGCCTGGTTAGGATTCTCTCTCTCCCTGACCCTTCCCCACTTGGGCGTGTACGTGCACTCTCTCTCTCAAAACAAATAAACAAACTTAAAAAAACTATTTTAAATGTATAAAATTGAAAAGGGTCAGGCTAAATTTTCTTTATTCACAGATGATATTATTGTGTACTCTTTTGGAATAATGGAAATGTTCTCTATTTTCATTTAGGTGGTGGTTCCATATATATAAATATATATACATATATATATATATACACACACACATATATACATATATGTATATATATATACACATAAATATATATATATATTTATGTGTGTGTGTGTGTATACATATATACATGTAAAAAGTTACTCAGTATACACTTAAGATTTGTGCACTTGGGTAAATCACACCTCATTATTAAAAAATCCAACAAGAATGCATTGATGAAATTGACTAAATGGCTTTTTAATTAAAAAAAAAATTTTTTTTTTAAATAAATTTTCTTTTTTTTCAACGTTTATTTATTTTTGGGACAGAGAGAGACAGAGCATGAACGGGGGAGGGGCAGAGAGAGAGGGAGACACAGAATCGGAAACAGGCTCCAGGCTCTGAGCCATCAGACCAGAGCCCGACGCGGGGCTCGAACTCACGGACCGCGAGATCATGACCTGGCTGAAGTCGAACGCTTAACCGACTGCGCCACCCATGCGCCCCTAAATATTTTTTATTTATTTTTGAGACAGAGAGAGAGAGAGAGAGAGAGAGAGAGAGCGCGCGCGCGCGCACAGGAAGGGCAGAGAGAGAGGGAGAAACAGAATCCGAAGCAGGCTCCAGGCTCTGAGCTATTCAGCACAGAGCCCGATGAGGGGCTTGAACCCACAAACCAGGAGATCATGACATGAGCTGAAGTTGAACACTCAACTGAGCCACCCAGGCGCCCCAAATGGCCTTTTAAAAATAAACTCAAATGAAACAAGACAGACGAAATGTTGCCAACTGTTGCAACTAGGTAATGGGTACATGGGAGTTCATTTCTTCTACTTTAGTGTGTGTTAGAAATTTCCCAAAGTGGAAAATTAAATAGTTAAAATACACATTTTAAACAAACTTTAAAATTCACCATCATTAGTTTGAATGCTAAATAAAATTCGTACCTTTCCTTCTGTTGCTTTCTTTGTTGATGAAATTTCCTTCATTAGTTTGGGAATTTCCCTGTCAAATTTGAGAAAATTATTTAGATTTGTAAGGTCTAACTCTTTACAGAAATATATTAACATTACAAAATGTACTTTCAGGTACTTAGTGCCTAAAAAATATGGAATAAGAATTAAATTGGGTTCACATACTCTAATACAACTGCAATATGCCGATGTCGAATTCTGACCCAGAGGTCATCATCTTCTTCAAGGACGGCCTCCTTTTCTTTCCCATCTGTTTTGTATCTACAAGCAGACAGAAATATAAAACTTTTGGATTATCTCCCACCTAAAGTGGAAGAAATATCTTTACAAACAATAATTTTAAGACATAGCTCAAGAAACTGAGCAATACATATATATATTCAATCCATTAATTTTAGGAGGATAATGAATATCTACTCAAAAGTAAGGCATATTGGTATCCTTACATTCAAAATCAAAGTTGTATGTCTACCAAGACATTTTTGCTTTCAAATGTTAGATTCAGCTATATTAAAGAGTTTTAGCTCAGCAAAATGGTACTTTATGAAATATTAAACATTCTACAATCAACTCTAAGAACAAGACTGAATTTATATTAACAATGTGTTCTAATTGCTTAAAATACTATTTTGATGTGCCAATAACCATCAGCACAACTATTAAACACCTATTAAATGTCACCCCTAATGTAGCCTATTAAATACTGAAGGTGTTTCAGTTCACATTTTCACAAACATGTATCCAAGTATGTAAAATCATAAACACGTGTCATCTGTTTCTACATTCTTCCCTAATCCTATAACCACATCTCCAATGAAGAATGAGAAAGGATATGAGAGAAAAACTAACGCAGTCATAAAAAATTCTGATTGCCTTAGTAAGTCCTACCGAGGTGAGTAGAAATTCAAGAGGTTCATGAAACTACTCAAAATGGGCTTCTTGACTGCCTCCCCAAATGTAACATCTCCCTTCTTTTTTAATGCAGATAGCCTCCTTCCATCTATAGTGCTAAGGAGATTCAATCATCCTTGGAACTGTCAATTTCCTGAGCCAAGATTAGGAAGTACAGCGTTGAACTTTCCCAGCTCTAAACTGCAGATAATAAATATAGATTTCTACTATATGAATATAATCCCACTTCCATAGCTCCAAAAATTACAGGCCCCACGTATAAAACCATTTACCTATGCAGTCTTAATTGCAAATACCCAAAGGTAGAATGAGAGCTTAATCAGAAGATATATTAAGGACACAGCAGCCTATCTGCCATTTAAAATGTAACTTTGTACTTACATAATTCTTTTAACCTTTGATTTATAAACAAAGATTAAGACAGCAAGCCTGACAATACTAAAAGATGATGACAACCCCATTTTAAAAGTACATTTAAAGAAATTACCAATATAAAAACAGAGTATGGATACTTTGAATTTCCTGCTTTGTACTGTCTCCATTAACAATTGTAATGGAGCACAAACCATAGGGAGTTCAAACTTTCATCTCATTTTATCCCTTGGACTTTTTTGATTCATAAAAGGGAGTATTGCTGGTGTTTTTGTTTTTTTTTTTTTGTTTGTTTGTTTAATAGGTCTCTCCCTTACTCTTAAAAAAATTAAAACTTTCTTTCCTTGCCAGCAAATTTAAAGGGGATGAATATTTTAAATACTAGGTTAGAACTGCCTGAAATGTCTGGAGCCAAGTCCTTCAGTGTCTATTAGTTTCATTCCTTTCTAATCTCTGGAGCAGTGCAGGCTTACAGACCTAAAGGATAACAGAGGTAAACAGTATTATTCTCTCCTGAAAATTCTCAATAAACTGTTTGAAACTACTTTTATGTTAGAAAAATAAGCTATGTTGATTTCTCTATGTCACCAGATGTAATATAAATTACAGGAAGGAAATTCAGAAGCCAGGATTTGACCAGAATGCAAATAAGCATACAATAGAAAATACATAAATATATACAATAGAAAAAAGATCTTTTTAATTTATTAAAATTACTGAAATAATTTACACAAAATTTCAGAAAACTAATTTTCATTTTTACTACTATGCTCAAGCAGTAAATCTTAGCTGAAAAACGCCAATTTGAACTTAGAGATTATGATATCAAATAACATGTAATACACATATGCCTGTACATATATATACACACTCATAATGACTCACAAAAATACAGTAAAATGGTTCCCTAATAAAAAAATTATTTCACTTTTCATTTAGCTATTTGGCCTCACTTTTAAAGTAAATATGCTTATATCAGAGTTAAGTCAATAGGTACTAAATTAGTTAAGACTATGTCTATTCTCAATAGCTATCCTATTCAGTTTTCCAGTATTCTAATCTTCTTAAAGATATTACGTTGACAAGACATACACACAGATACCTTTGGGTGGGTGATTCAGAATAATTACAGCCTAATAAGTTTGAATATGGTTTCCACTTCAATAAATATAATAGTGGGCCAGGTATTTACTCTTAACATAAGCAAGAAGCCCAAATTCCACCGGTTTAAATGTAGCTTTGTTGTAGACATAGTTAAGGAAGCAACTACATCAAAGAAGCTTCAAAGCAGTCAAATTACCCATTAACTTACAAGGTCAAGGTATTTTTTAATACACTATGATTATAGGGGTAAGAGAATAATAAAGTTTCTGAATAACAAAGTTACAGGGGCATTAGATTTCTGGTGCCTACACAAATCATTAAATGCTCATATCCTATATGCTCTTTGTATATGCCCTTTATATGCCCTTCAAAATATACTTGCTTGTATGTATCATTCTCAATTGGCAGTAGATCATATGCCATTGCCTGAAAGGTCAGTTCATGCAGGACAGTGGACACAGGATCAAAGCCACGATCAATTATTATGAGCTGGGAATGAGTTTTACCCTGGAATAACAAGATAAAATTATCTTCAGAAACTTCAATTTGTGTGAACACCTTGTTAATATCTCAGAAAACAAAAGCAGAATTTTCCTAACTTCTGTCTCATTCTTAAGAATGTGAAGTTCTATTAAAACAGAAAAATTGGAGTGGCACAATAGGGGAAAAACCAAGACTACAAAACTGAAAACTTATAATTAAGGAGCCAAACTTGACATTACAATATTGTGAAAATTTGTTTTAAAAAAGTAACATCTGCCTTGCACTAAACCCATTTTCTTAGGAATTTAGTTCCATAAACATTAAAACTGATATAAATTATGAACAGCAGTCACTACTTAGGCTCTTTGTATTACACATGTGCTAAGCAAAAAAATATATATTACTCAATTCTTATAGCAACCCCATGAGGCAGGTCTTATATCTCCATATGACGAAGGCATTAGAGCTTAAAAGTCAGCAACCTGACTAAATGACATAGCTGGTAAGTAGCAAAATGGAGATTCAAACCCATGTCAGTTTCATTCCATGCCTATGCTCTTAACCATTATGCTATTTAAAAGGATTATACTGATACCAGCTAAGATGGCAAATCAAAATGAAAGCCTTGTTATCATTAATTCACAAACAGCAGTAATTATTAAACAGTGAATAACAGTGCTAGGAAAAGTATTGTTAATACTAGTATCTTTCATATGTTTCATTTTAGAAAATAATAAATTATTTGGATTATTATTTAAAGCAGTCAGAAATAACTACAACTCATTAGATAAATATTTCCTATTTATTTACATATATCAGATATAAGTAAATTACATGAGAAAGACCTTTAAAAATTGTTTTATTTAACATTTACTCATTTAAACCTTGAGACAGTATGATACAGTGGCTAAGAATACAGGCTCTGGAATCACATAGATCCAGGTATCAGCCCAGTCTTGACCACTTTCTTGCTAAATGACTTTGGACAAATTGCTTAACTTAAATATCTCAGTATTCTCATTTGTAAAACAAAATATAACCAGAACCTCTGCTGTACAAGATTATTGTAAAGACTTAATGTAGGGGCACCTGGGTGGCTCAGTTGGTTAAGGGTGTGACTTGGGCTCAGGTCATGATCTCACGGGTCGTGCATTTGAGTTCCGCATCAGGCTCTCTGCTATCAGCACAGAGCCCACTTTGGATCCTCTGTCCTTCCCCTTCCCCCCCCCCCCCCCCCCGCCTCTCTCTCTCTCGAAAATAAACTTAAAAAAAAGAAAAAGATTTAATGTAGTAACACCATAAAACACTTAGTGCCTAGGATTTAGTAAGCCTTCAATACATTTAAGTTATAGGTCCTCAAAAATACAAATATGAAAAAGATGGTGCAATATAAGTGTTATATCAGGGCTTGGGGTTATGACAATACGTGGGAGGAAGTATCATTTGACCTGAAGAGTCACGAAATGCTTCAAAAAGAATGTGACACTTCATCATGTTCTCAAATGAAGGAAAAATACCAAGCATTTGAAGGATGTATAATTTCCCAGGCAGAAAAATGGAAAGCACAAGTTTGTTTTTTTGTGTGGATCTTGCCGTTTTTTGTTTTTTTTTTTTCATTGAAATCATAAAGGAAAAAAGGATATTTACTAACATACTGACAAAAGGATATTTACTAACATACCCATCATGTATCTCTTCCTGCATTCAACATACATTGACTATTACTATGCTACACACTGAGCCACTGTCTTCATCACTACACCAGAACAGCTTTCACCAGACCTCTAGCAACTCTTAAAAGTTGTAAACTAACATTATATCTAAGCTTATGCCCTCCTAATCCAGTGCAGGTATTTGTGAATTTCCCTGTTTCACTATGCCTCTGCCAAAGAATCCTGTTATCCAAGCAACAAACCCCTTCTTCCATCATGTTGTACTCATTCTTTAAGTTCAAGAGCCTCCTCCTCTGGGATGCCTTCCAAGACTCCAGTTAGAAGATTAATCCACTGCCTATGTTCCCACTACATTCTATGTATTATTTTTTTCATTTCACTTATTAAAGAACACTGTATCAGTGGTTTCCCTTGCCCATCTCCTCTTCTAAACTGTCAACAGTTTCTTCTGCTCATTTAATATGGCTTCCGAGCCCCCTGGCCCCACCTCCTTCAGTTTCCTCAGACTCTTCATTTTCCAACGCAAGCCTAAATGATGCTATTCTCCAGGACTCAACCTCAGTCTCTGATTACTTTATACTGTCGTCATAAGATAATAACAGCTGCCATTTATTAAACTCCTATATGTGCTGAACATGTTAATTCACCTATCTTCATGCCAACCAAGCAAGCTATATGTTTATCACATCCATTTTATAGATGAAAATACAACTCAGAGTAAATAATTTGTATAAAGTCACAGAGCTAGCAGTAAGATAAGAATAACTATTAAATGTTTACTCAGCAGGCATCATTGTAAGAACTTTAAAAGTAATAACTCATTTAACCTTCTACTTTATAAAATAGGTATCCTTATTATCCCCATTTTACAGTTTAAAAAACTTAAGCACAGAGAAGTTACATTATTTGTCCAAACTAACATATCTATGAATTAAAAATGGCAGAACCAGAAGTTGGACACAGTCCTTACTTCAAAACTCTTATCTTCCCCACTAAACCACAACATTATTAAGGTTCCCTCTACCATCTATATTAATTATTCTTAAATCAATACTGGGAATCTATATCAATAATTCCCAAATCAACGCTGGAAATGAACAATTTTTTTGGTTTATGAAGAAATAAGACAGACTTTGTTCCTAATCACTATTTGCCTTTTACACATTACCTTTATTAGGCTCTTTTCATCAATCTTGTAGTAGTTTTCAAGTTTTTTTTCAACAAGCTGGGCAAGCTTACTGGCATTATCTAGAGGTTTACTATAAGTGGAAAAAATGTTCAAACAATTATCCTTCTTTCAAAACACATGTTATAGTATCATAAAGCTGAATTCTAAAATTAAACCATGCAATAATTTACAAATTTAAAAGACTTTATAAACACAGAAAAGTTCAAATAATACATCAAATATTATACCAATTTGTCTGGATTTTACAAATGTAAACCTTATCATATGTGCTTCAAATTTTCTTAAAGAAAATAATATATTATAAATAAAACTGCAGGTCCCTTTATTTCCTTCCCAATTCCTAATCTTCTCCTCTACCTCTATCCACTTCCAATAGCAACCACTGTCATGAATTTGGTGTGTATTCTTCCTGTCAATGCTGTTATATATATTTACTATTTTATATATGTTTAACAGTATATGTTATATATGTTTGATATCTATGTTGACATACACATATCAAATTTACTCACTTTAGTTTTACACAATTTTCCATCATATAATTATACTGGATTCTATGTATTCATCCCCTTAAAGATGGACTTTAAAAAAAAATTTTTTTTAAGGTTTATTCATTTTTCAGAGACAGAGCATGAGTGGGGGGAGGGGCAGAGAGAGAGGGAGACACAGAATCTGAAGCTGGGCCCAGGCTCTGAGCTGTCAGCACAGAGCTCAAAGCAGGGCTCAAACTCATGGGCTGTGAAATCATGACCTAAACTGAAGTCAGATACCCACCCAGCCTCCCCTTAAAGACGGACATTTAAATCATTCTCAATTTTATACTATTTCAAACAAAAGTGAAACAAATATCTTTGTAAATATATCTCCATGTATGTTTTTCTACATCTAAAAGTATAATTGCTGAATCAGAAAAACATTTTTACTTTTCTAGATACTAGCATGTTACTCTCCAAATGAGTTGACCAATTATCCTTCCTACTAGCAGTGTGAGATTTCCCAATGTGCTAACATCTAATTAGCTTTCCAGTATAATCTTTTGCATAAAGTCTTGTATATCAGTCTTCTAAAATGACAAAATCATAGTTTAAATTACAACTGCATGACCAGTGGCATTAGCATAACTTCTGAATCTACAGGGAAAACTTCTGTGAAAGGCTCCTCAATTAGCACACCAATCTCAAAAATCTCATTGTGATGGCTTCCAAGAGTGAAAGACTCTTTAGGTTTTATACCTTAAAAATAAAATAGCAACTATAAAGAAAAATTTATTACATGTTTAGCTTTAGAGTATTTTCAAAAGGAAATAATTTTATGTCAGAATTACACTTTAACAGTCCGTAAGACATAAAGGAATGCTTTGAGAAACTACAAGTAGGATTTTAATGTAACTTAAATATAAAGTACATGAATTTAAAATTAAACAGCTCAGCCAACAAACATGACACATGCAAATGTTTAAAGAAACTTTTAAAAAAGAAATGAGTGATAATACTTACTAGTAATACCATAGTATATTTACTACTACCATTTTACTAGTGTCATGTACTATCCCGAATGCTTTACAGAGTTCTAACAACAACTTAATAAGGTGGGTACTATCATTCCCATTTCATAGATAAGGAAACTGAGGGCAGAAGGGTCACACAGCTAGTAATTAGCAGAGATTACATAAAACAATATGGATGACTCTCAAAACATAATGTTGAACAAAGAAGGCAGAAACAAAAATTTCATATGATTCCATTTTTACCAAGTTCAACACCAGGCAGAACTAAAATACATGTTAAAAGTCAGGATAGTAGTAACCTTTGGGGAGAAAAAAGGGGGTAGTGATCAAGAAGGATCATGAGCAGAACCTCTGAGATGCTGTTTATGTTCTATTTCTTGACCTTGGTAGGTTTAGAGGGATATGTTCACTCTGGAACGATTTATCAAGCAATACATATATCATTTATGCACTTTACAGTAAATTTTTATTTTGTTATTATTTATTAAAAAAATTTTTTTAATGTTAATTTTTTTTGAGAGAGAGCACGAGCAGGAGAGGGGTAGAGAGTGATAGGGAGACACAGAATCCAAAGCAGGCTGCAGGCTCTGAGCTGTCAGCATAAGAGCCTGATGTGGGGCTCAAACCTGTGAACTGTTAGATCATGACCTGAGCCAAAGTCAGATGCTTAACGACTGAGCCACCCAGGTGCCTCACAGTAAATCTTATTTTTAAAAAGAAGCAAATTTTTAAAAATTTGCTATTTTTAAAAAGAAGCAAATAAATAAAGGTACACGGTATTAAAGTCAAACTTTAGCTCTTTAAAAAAAAACAACAGAAAATCTATTTAAAATGGCCACTGGGGGGCAGCTGGCTGGCTCAGGGTGGAACATCTGACTCTTGATTTCTGCGCAGGTCATGATCTTGCTATTCTTGAGTTTGAGCCCTGCTCTGACAGCAGGGAGCCTGCTTGGAATTCTCTCCCTCTCTCTCTGCCCCTCCCCCACTCATTCACACATGCTCTCTCTCAAAGTAAATAAACATTAAAAAATAACACTCAGATCAATGAAATAGAATAGAGAACCCAGAAATGTACCCACAAACGTATGGCCACCTAATCTTTGACCAAGCAGGAAAGAATATCCAATGGAATAAAGACACTCTCTTCAGCAAGTGGTGCTGGGAAAACTGACAGCGACATGCAGAAGAATGAACCTGGACTACTTTTCTTACACCATACACAAAAATAAATTCAAAATGGATGAAAGACCTAAATGTAAGACAGGAAGCCATCAAAATCCTAGAGGAGAACGCAGGCAAAAACCTCTTTGATCTTGGCCACAGCAACTTCTTACTCAACACGTCTCCAAAGGCAAGGGAAGCAAAAGCAAAAATGAACTACTGGGACCTCATCAAAATAAAAAGCTTCTGCACAGCAAAGGAAACAATCAGCAAAACTAAAAGGCAACCAACAGAATGGGAGAAGGTATTTGCAAATGACATATCAGATAAAGGGTTAGTATCCAAAATCTATAAAGAATTTATCAAACTCAACACCCAAAAAACAAATAATCCAGTGAAGAAAGGGGCAAAAGACATGAATAGACACTTCTCCAAAGAAGACATCCAGATGTCCAATCGACACATGAAAAAATGCTCAACATCACTCATCATCAGGGAAATACAAATAAAAACCACAATGAGGGGCGTCTGGGTGGCTCAGTCGGTTGGGTGTCTGACTTCAGCTCAGGTCATGATCTCACCGCTCCTGAGTTCGAGCCCCATGTCAGGCTCTGTGCTGACAGCTCAGAGCCTGGAGCCTGCTTCAGATTCTGTGTATGTCTCTCTCTCTGTCCCTACCCTGCTCACACTCTGTATCTCTATCTCTCAAAAATAAATAAACATTAAAAATTAAAAAAAAAAAACCACAATGAGATACCACCTTACATCTGTCAGAATGGCTAACAATAACAACTCAGGAAACAATAGATGTTGGCAAGGATGCGGAGAAAGAGGATCTCTTTTGCATTGTCGGTGGGAATGCAAGCTGGTGCAGCCACTCTGGAAAACAGTATGGAGGTTCCTCAAAAAACTAAAAATGGAACTGCCCTACAACCCAGCAATTGCACTACTAGGCGTTTATCCAAGGAATACAGGTGTACTGTTTTCGAAGGGACACATGCACCTCCATGTTTATAGCAGCACTATCAACAATAGCCAAAGTACGGAAAGAGCACAAATGTCCATCGATGGATGAATGGATAAAGAAGATGTGGTATATATATACAACGGAGTATTACTCAGCAATCAGAAAGAATGAAACCTTGCCATTTGCAACTATGTGGATAGAACTGGAGGGTATTATGCTAAGTGAAATTAGTCAGAGAAAGACAAAAATCATATGACTTCACTCATATGAGGACTTTAAGAGACAAAACAGATGAATGTAAGTGAAGGGAAACAAAAATAATATAAAAACAGGGAGGGGGACAAAACAGAAGAGACTCATAAATATGGAGAACAAACAGAGGGTTATTGGAGGGGTTGTGGGAGGAGGGATGGGTTAAATGGGTAAGGGGCAGTGAGGAATCTACTCCTGAAATCATTGTTGCACTATATGCTAACTAATTTGGATGTAAAATTTTAAAATAACTAATTAATTAATTAATTAATGTATTTATTTATTTGAGGGGCACCTGGGTGGCTCAGTCGGTTAAGTGTCCAACTCTTGATCTCAGCTCAGGTCATGATCTCAGGGTTCATGAGTTTGAACCCCATATTGGGCTCTGCACTGACAGTGTGGAACCTGCTTGGGATTCTCTCTCTCCTCTTTCTCTACCTCCTCCCCACTGACGTGCTCTCTCGCAAAATAAACATTTTTTTAAAAGTGCTTGCAAATTATACCAAATTTAAGCTCTGAAATTTAGTAACAGGGGGTTATTAGTTGCTTGGAAATTTCAACCTTAAACTTTAAATCTGCTATTTGAACAGCATAATTTTACATGGAGTTTGCAAAGTAAACCCTGCAATCCAATACACTTTAGCACAGAGATATTACTTACCTCTATATTGGAGATCAAATAGAAAGCATAACATATACAGACAGTATTGAGTGTTCTACCTTTTATATCTTACTCCAGGGTTTTCATCCAGGGTAGCACATACAGTAACTATCTGCTCAGCCATTGCTTCCATAACGGCATCTTTTCCATTTGCATTACTAGGGTCCGGACTGTAACAGTAATAGAATGCATCCGGTACATCAAGAGTATAAACCTAAGTTAGGCCCCCCCAAAAAAAAATAAGGTCATACTGTGTCAATTGATGATTTGGTTTAACACACACACACACACACACACACACACACACACAGAAAAATGTGGCTATTATTTGGGACATTAAAAAAATTACTTGCTTAACCAGGCTGTTTCCTGAGACCACTGTGTCTTTACCTTAATCAAATCTCATTTTCTCTCAGTCATCTCGATTTCATCCTTTATTTCTTTTCCCACTCTCCTTTCCTGCTTAGTCTACCTCTCTTCTTCATTTCTTGTTTCATACTGTACTATTTGTTTCTTACTACCTGTGCAACAGATGAAGGAATTTGAGGTAGTCAAACTAAACTAAAAATCTAATACCTGACACAAAGAAATACAACAAAGCCAAAGTTGGTCTATATATTTGACATACATTAAAAATCTTAATCTGTTAGAGAATAACCTAGAAATTTTCCATAGTTGATATGTATCTTCAATTCTTTGGTTTATATTCTTCATGTCCTTAAAATAGAGATATGTTTCCCAAAAAGACACAGTATTGTGCCAGACATAGTAATTGGTCAAATCATAGACCACACTGAAACCTCAAAGACACATTTTTTCAACTAACAAAAACATTTACTTATGTGCAAAGAACTGGATTAGAGGGGCGCCTGGGTGGCGCAGTCGGTTAAGCAACTGACTTTTGATCTCAGGTCAGGTCATGATCTCTCCATTCATCGGTTCGAGCCCTGTGTCAGGCTCTGTGCTAATGGTATAGAGCCTGCTTGGGAGTCTCTCTCCCCTTCTCTTGCCCCTCCCCCGCTTGTGTATGTGTGGCTCTCTCTCCCTCAAAAATAAATATTTAAAAAAAGAACTGCATTAGAAATTTACTATTATTATGTTATTTGAAGAGTACAAAAGTGAGGCACCTGGGTGGCTCAGTTGGTTTAGCGCCTCTTGGTTTCAGCTGAGGTCACAATCGCACTGATAGTGGTATCAGCTCTGTGCTGATGGTGTGGAGGCTACTTGGGATTCTCTCTCTCCCTCTCTCTCTGCCCCACCCCCACTCATACTCACGCAGTCTCTCTCTCTAAATAAATAAACTTTTAAAAAATGAATACAAAAGAAGAAGCTCTTTTACTAGGGTTGGGAGTTAGTTCTTCATTAAGCCAATTTTTATTTTTTTTAAACAATGATAACAATCTCTCTTAGCCTAGGATGATGTATTGAGTGTAAAAGTAAGTATGTAATAAACATTACATGCTAAACTATTGCATTATGAATAAACCTGCTTATGAAAAGTTTCCTTTCATTGTACATTCATTTCTCTGAACATAACCAACAGCAGCAGGCTGCACATGGATTCAGATTTAGCCATAGCTAATCCACTTATGTCTGTGTTGCTCAAAATCTTGGCTATTATATTAACTGCCAACAAGCACTTCTCTTAGTACACTATTACACTACAGTAGATAATATTATCTGTTCAAAAATACTTACTGCCCCTCCCTAAGGGCCTCTCCCTATAAGAGTATACTTCCCACTCACTAAAGTCAGCCTTGGCTATGGGTATTCGAAGATGAGTAGAAGTGACACGTGCTACTCCCCACAAAAGCTTTAAAAGCCATTGTGTGTCTCCAAGATTTCTCTTTTCCTTCTGCTATGTCCCAGACAAGGGCTAGTCCTTCAGCCTCAGTTCCGGAATGAAGAGAATATACAGCAAAGCCCCAGACAAACCACAATGGACAAAAATATGAGAAATAAACTTGGCTACAGTAATGAACTGAGATTTAGGGAGTTATCACAACAGTTTAACCTAAGCTAATACTCCAATGAACCAAAGAGAATATTAGAGCTTATTTTCATTCTACTCTCACATTTCTTCCATTCTTCCATTTCCCTCCTCCTCTTCCTCTCCACTTTCCATTACCACCAGACATGTTCCTTCAGACCATTACCAAATATTTTCTTCAACTTTATGACCCACAATCAGCTCCTTAAATAAAGACTCCTCCCACCCCCGCCACTTTCATCTACTCTTTTTGCTAATCTACAACTGGCTTAGCTCTATTTCTACCTAAACACCTCCCTACTAACTACACCAGACTCTTTGTAAGATCCACTGTAATCAAATTTCCCTACATTCTTAAATGCTTTCCCTCTAATTGCCTTAATGTATATGTGATAGCACTAATTATCTTAAATCCTGTAAGAAGTAAAGCAAGAGGTTTCTTTAATCTCTTGGACTCATAAATTCAGGAGTGAATCAACCTCCTTCCTCTCCATGCAACCTCTAAATGTGTTTAATGTCCGTCCAACTTGTCTTCTTTGGAGCACTATCCTATCTGACTTTGCATCTGGCAGACAGTATCCACTGCACAAGACCTTGATAAATGCTCACATAGGCCTTTGCTCTTAGCTCAAAGCACTTAGTAGTATTTCCTTTATATCTTCACTTGCAAACAAAGTTGAAAACATTTTCACTGTAATTTCTCTGTAACAGTTATAGTTACTTAGTAAACTCTCAGATGCTTATCAAGGAAATAAAAGCAAAAACTTCTTCGGGGAAAAACAAACCAGACAGGACCTTAAATAATCACATTTTGCAAAGACACAGTAAGAAGATTCTCATGAGATTTCTCTATATAGACAAAAACAAGTTATTCTCATCACCAATCAAATTGGTCAGATAGCTACACAGATCTCTCCTTCAAATAGAGCAACTGCAGAATTTTGATGAATTTTGAGGCTAAAACTATATTTACCATCTGTACAGCAGATGCTCTGGATCCGTTTATAATATTTATCATACTACTATTCATATCCCACATCATTTAGAAAGCCCATTTCACCCTATTTTAAACTTACATTATCACATTAAAAGGAACAGGCCTAAAGTTAACCTTTGGCAATGGTGTAACGTTAAACAGATATCTTAAAATTTTACAATTTGGATTATAATCTTTCTTTGCCCAAAATAGCAATAGCTTAAAAGAAAAATCTCTTGGGGTGCCTGGGTGGCTCAGTCAGTTAAGCGACCACTTCAGCTCAGGTCATGACCTCATGGTTTGTGAGGTCGAGGCTGGGAGAACCCTGTTTAGGATCCTCTGTCTCCCTCTCTCTCTGCCCCTCCCCTGCACTCTCTCTCTCTCAAAAATAAACATACATTTAAAAAGAAAATAAAAAGAAAAATTCCTCTTCTAGGACCCTTATTTCTCTTAAAATATTGACCTTATAGTTCCAAACAACAGTAAACTATTAGAATTCTATGAAATGCTAGAATCCAAACACAGAGAACAGAGCACAACAAAGTTGAGCAATGCACTAGCTGTGTGATCTGGGGCAAGTTACTTAACTTCTTTGATTTCCCCATTTTTAAAATGAAGACAGAATTACCATCCATTCATAGGACTATCATGAGGATTACATGAATATATTTACGGAAAATATTTAGGAAAGTGTCTGGCACATGGAGAATACTACATAGGTGTTTCCTATCACCATCATTATTATTAATTGAAGGATCATAACTATTCCAAAGTCAAAATGAATTTTTAAAACCCTTCATTTTATAAATTAATGCAATCTATATAATGTTATAGAAAAAATTTGTTGAAGAACATTTGTTTTAAATTTTTTTTTTTTTCAACGTTCATTTATCTTTGGGACAGAGAGAGACAGAGCATGAACAGGGGAGGGGCAGAGAGAGAGAGGGAGACACAGAATCGGAAACAGGCTCCAGGCTCTGAGCCATCAGCCCAGAGCCCGACGCGGGGCTCGAACTCATGGACCGCGAGATCGTGACCTGGCTGAAGTCGGACGCCTAACCGACTGCGCCACCCAGGCGCCCCGAAGAACATTTGTTTTAACATCACAAATGGTTACAGAAGCTAAAGGTTATTTCTTTTGAGTCATCTAACATTGTGTTCAAAATCTTTTCATTTCATAATCTAATAGTTCTGTAAAACTTGACATGCACAGCACTTAGTGGCAGCTGTGAAATTTAAGCTCCACTTTCATAATGTTCTGTTCCAATTTATGCTCCTCTCCTTTCCTTCATCTAAAACATCTTTAAGATATACCTTATTAACAATAAGTAAGCTCATAAAACCAAAATTTTAAATCCATTATAAACTAAAATTAAAAGTAAAACAAGAAAGTACCTGAGATTCAAGTGGAATGAAGGAAATATTTATTTCTTTACATCTTCTTATTGATTTGGAGCAAGAAGTCTTAATTTTGTTAAAGAGACTATCAGGGCAAACTGAGAGGGCGGGAAAAATCAAAGCATATAACTCCATCTAAATTTTTATTCTTTGGAATAAATCATTTTAACATGCAAGAATATTTATTTTTTACATATAATTAGTGACTTTCACAAAGCAATTTACTATGAGGACAGAGACAATATGTAAATATTTTTCTTCACTTTACACAGCAAATGTATTCTAGCCAACAGGGCTGTAACAGAAATTCCATTTTCCCCATTCATAGGCACCATAACTTATGATTATTTCCTTAGAGAGCTGCTTACACAGCAACCTAAAATTGTTAGGAAGGAAAATCAGATCCAAACTCATGGCTTAATAAACTTTCATAGGACTTTCAGAATTTCTTAGGAATTTATACTGCTTTTCTAAATGTGGCACTAAGTGCAACCATCCCACACAAGTTGTTAGTTTTTCCTTGTATCTCAAGACCTTCTTTAATGTCAGGAAATCCTGAGACTAATCCAGAGCCTGTTCTCTCCACCCTCCCTTTACCTGTCTATATCTCTATTAAATCTAGGTTGGAACATCAACCATTGGGTCCTAGTGTCTTTTAACATGAAGTTCTTCAGCCTCAAGATTCCTTCAGTTAAAAGAGGCTTCACATTCATTAAATTTTATAACTTCTATAAACATGAATTTCTGTGTAATACAGTTATTTAAAACACAAATACTTATGGCATGACATATTTAAAATGGAAACTATTACCAGGCATGAGATAAACAATAACTTATAGGAAAAACAATATACTGCTTAAAATGAATTTCTAATAGCACAGACTAAGACTACACTTAGATGAACAGCATTTTTATTTTGCAAAATAATTATGTAAGATATAACATAAAGCAGAATTATATGTGTGTCTGGACTTCTCTGTGATGCTTTTGTTTAGCTGCTTTCTATCTGAACATACGGCATTGCAAGAGAAATGTGAGAGATTCTCTCCATTAATATTTGCCAAACAGATGGCAATTTCTCCAGTACCCTCCCAAAGGGTCTTATTTTTGATTACATAATCAAATCCCCAATTAAAACTTAGATTTAAAAAAGAATTCCTCCTTCATCAGCATAAAATTTGAGATACAGCTCTCACTACCAACCCCCCACCATTGTATACCAGCCAAAATGACTGGTTCAGAATTTAATTTTCTATCACTTTAATATGAATTAGGACAGATATGATCTTTTATTTTTAGATTTTTTCTAATCTAATTAGAACAAGCAATAAATTGAAAGTCTTAATATTATAATAGTACTGTAAGAAATACTTTATAATTAATAGGATTTTAAACAATGAAGCAATACTTTTACAAAGCTACTTACAGTCAGTGAAGTATATATATGCTGCTTTGTATTTGTTCTCGGACTTACTTGCAAAATCACGTAAAAAACATTCTACAGACTTAAAAAAGGTTAGATGTTAATACACATTTAACAAAATACTAATTTAAACGTGCTAGCTTTGAAATAACTAAGATTATTCTTTTTCGATAATAAAACAAAACCTTAACTATCTCAAAGTTTACTTTATAAGCTGATTTTTTTAAAATGCTATGTTGGCTAGCCAGTAACAGCTAAAAACCTAAGAAGTAGTAAGGTAATATGTATAAACAGAGTACTGTTTTGGCAATGAGAAGATCCAGGAACGATCCAGTGAGTGGGAAGCTGAAGCCACACAGACCATTAGAAGATAACAAATCAAGGAACTGAAAAGCCAATAAGCATACTGGAAATGTTATCCACCTGGATGATGAAAGCATTGTGACTGTAACTGGGAAAGTGCTGAAGAGAGTGACAGTGAGCTAGGAGTAAAATTGTTAAGGGATAATGAAAGACCCAGAGGTTGGTAGACGACAGCAAGGAGGGGAATGGCAGGTAATAAAGTCTGGTAGTTCTTGCATGCCTCAGTGCTGGTAGTTTTAAAGATACAATGATCTAAAAGCAAAAATGAGGAATACAGAATGTAATGATCTCTCCTCCATCTGTTCCTTTTTCTCCTGGAACTCTAGAACTATTTCTGTTAGACCTCATAGATCAATCCAGCAAGTCTCTTATCTTTCGCCCATGATTTCCATGACTTTGGTTTTTTTTTGTTTTTTGGGATTTTGCTTTGAGATATTCCATTTTAACTCGGCTATTAATTCAAATTTCAATAGTGATTATCCTCTTATGCAATTAACCATTTAACGGAGAAATCACATACTTTTGAACTTCAGGAAGTTTTTTATATGCTGTACTAGACTCTTCTTATGTGTTATCATTTTTCTGTTCAGTTCATCATCCTTCTCTCTAAGCAGCTATATTTTGTATTTTCTTCATTCTTACTGAACTTCCTCTTTCTGGCAGCTTGGCTCACTTAGATGTGTTGATGCTTTCCTTTGTTAACTCACTGAAGGTTTAGGTTTGTTGCTGGAGAATCCTAAATACAGGCAGTTCTACAAGAGGGGAAGGCAAAAAGATTTCTCCTTCTCTGGGCTGTAGGTATATAAGCAGACAAACCACCAGGGCTTTGCTTTTTCACCAAATGACCTTTCACCTGGGTTCAGAGATCTCTTACAAGCTAAACTCTTCAGAAATCTGTCATTTTATGACTTTGGCTGGGAACACTCTCATGCTGGTGTCTAAGGTGCTTACCCAGCTACTAAGGAAGGAAGTCTCTCACTAGCCTTCTCCACTACTATCCAATAAGTTCAAGCCCTCGCTGGTACCCATAGGGCTATGGGGCCCAATAGGTAATTGATTCAGGACAGAAAGAGAAACTGGAGTTGGTTATAGTAGAAAAAAGAGTCACATTCAGGTACTATTTTCTCTGAGCCCTTTGCTCCTTTACTGAATATACAATTTTGTATCCTGCTTCTGTCACTTAACATTAAAAATGAACATTTACCTAAATCATTAAAATTTCCTAGAAATCTCATTTTCAATGGACACACAGTCTTTCCTACTATTAATCTATTAATGATAAGAATTAGCATTAAGATATAAAATGTCATTAAAACCCACCAGCAGCCAGCATATAGAAACTAAATAGTGAATATCTGTTTTTTTTCCTGCTGTCTGCTAGAATCAGAAGAAATGAAACTGCAATTGCCAACTTAACATTCTGGATGAATGTAACAGCCAAAGAATGTATTAGAAAATCCATTCTCAAATATTGTACAGAATAAAGGAATCTGACATGGCACCTGGGTAGCACAATTGAGCCCTGCGTCGGGCTCTGTGCTGACATCCCAGAGCCTGGAGCCTGCTTTGGATCCTGTGTCTCCCTCTCTCTATGCCCCTTCCCCACTCACACTCTGTGTCTCAAAAATAAATAAACATTAAAAAAAAAAATTAGAATAAAGGAATCTGATATTTACTTGGCTCTAAAAGTTTGGCATTAATATGCATTCAATCACAGATTATAAACTAATTCCTTTGACGTAAAAGATATATTTACATATATATGCATGCATATATGTGTATATACACCCATGTATGCTACAGGAAGTAACTACGATAAAGGATTAATCCAAGACTATTTCTTTTACGTACATTTCTATCCTCCAAAAATATGGTTGCATAGGAATAGCATGAGTAACAAACTACTCAAACTTCATCATTTTAATACAATTAAATTCTGCTTTCAGATATGAGGGGAGAATTCTTTCATTTATACATTCTCATTAAGAGTGCAAATGAAACAATTTTCTAACACAGAAAAACTTTCCTAAGCAAACTAGTTTATGGCACTATTTTTCTAATAAAGGATGTTTTATTGCTTTGAATTGCCTATGAGAAAATGATGTCAATGATAAATGAGGAAGATACTTTTTAAAGATTCAAAATAACTCACCTTTGATGTTGGAGAGATAAAATAAAGAGCTTTCATTTGTCTGACAGGTTCTCGATTCCTATAAATATTCTCCACAACTAATAAAAAAAAAGTCCATTTTATATAACCAAGTATTTATACACTTGAAACAATTTTAAAATAAAACTATACTTATTTATAATAGGGAAACACATTAACATATCCTGGGTTTAACATTTTTTTGGTCTCCCTTTGATAAATTAAAAAATCCCAAAATTGTATCTTCCCTAAACCTAAATTCTGGGCTAAGTAATCATCATAAGAAAAAAGGATGAAACAGCTATTTCATAGTTACATCTACCAGTGTAAGCAATCAACATGCCATGAAGCAAGAAAATGCATTAAAAATTAAAATTTGTATTTCTTTTTAAAAATATTCTAATGTAATAGCAAATATAATACCAGATATCAGGCTAAGTCCTTAACATTACTTATCTGTTAAACCTTCTAATAATTATTATATAACAAATTGATAAAATAAGTATTTTACAAATTAGGAAACTGAGACTTAAAGAAGTTAGGTAACTTGAAAGCTAGAAAGTAGAACAGGTAGGATTCTAACCCAGATCTGTCTGACTCCAGAACCCAAGTTTTTAACTACTATAACATTCTTTAAATAAACTGCCAATTAACTCTTACTCTTTTAAAACTACACAATATTTTTAAAGTATTTTTAACAATGAAATATCGCCATAATTTACTGTTATATTTTTATTATTGAAATTAAGAAGTTCATAAAATTAACAAATATAAAACAAAGTGAATTTAAAACTAGTAAACTCTAGGGGTGACTGGGTGGCTCAGTAAGCATCCAACTCCGTTTCGGCTCAGGTCATGATCTCACAGTTTCGGGAGTTTGAGCCCTGCATCGGGCCGGGCCCTGTGCTGACAGTGTGGAGGCTGCTTGGGATTCTCTCTCTCCCTCTCTCAGACCCTCCCACGCTTGCATTTGCCCTGTCTCTCCCTCTCAAAAAAATAAACTTAAAAAAACCCCAAAACATTAAAAACTAACAAAAAACTAGTAAACTCTAAATTGTCAAATTAATTATTAAAGCTATATTTTAAAAAAATTAAGCATTATTCTACAAATCAAGAGAACCACTTTTCAACACTAATGCTGGCAAAAGACCTGGAAAGAATTAAAAAGATTAACCTGATAGGCAAGGAAGGCTACTGTTGAACTTCTCTGGTAAATATGGTGATTCACCTTCTCATTCTTACATTTATATTAGTAAAGTATAGACTTATCACAGCTTCTATTAGACAGGATATCAAATAAGGTTTCCAAGGAAATATTTAATTTTAATCTCCATTCCCAACTATTGTAATTTCACCTTTAAAAGATTAGTTAAATCTGTGCAAACTTACTTTTATTACTTAATACTCAAAATCAAGTGCCTTATAGTCATCTTACGCTATACATACTATTATGCTTGGTGAGTAATGTACGTGTTAAAATGTGAAAATATTGTGGTATGATTTATTAGAACACAGACTTTGAAAATAATCTGAAATGTCTGGTTATTAATAGCAGAAAGTGCCACTTCTTCAATTCCCTGAAAAATGGATATACACTAATAGGTGATTTAACAAAAAGGTTTTTACAGGATGCCTGAATGGCTGTTAAATATTAATCTAAAACCTCACAATAGCCCAACAAGATCAAAATACTCATTGCCATTTTACAGATGTGAAAATTGAGATTCAGAAGTTAAATAAGTCAGGGGCATCTGGGTGGCTAAGTCGGTTGAGTGTCTGACTGTTCATTTCAGCTCAGGACATGATCTCGCTGTTCTTGTGTCCTAGCCCCGAGTTGAGCTCTGTGCTGATGGTGTGGAGCCTGCTTGGAATACTCACTCTCCCTTTCTCTCTGCCCCTCTCCCACTCATGCTCTCCTCTCTCTCTCTCAAAATAAATAAACATTAAGGAAAAAAACAACTCTGGAAAGTCCTCAAGAAACCTGTTTATGGGCACCTGGGTGGCTCAGTCAGTTGAGTGTCCAACTTTGGCTCAGGTCATGATCTCACGGTTTGGAGTTCGAGCCCCATGTCAGGCTCTGTGCTGAAAGCTCAGAGTCTGGAGCCTGCTTCAGATTCTGTGTCTCCCTCTCTCTCTGCCCCTTCCCTGCTCTGTCTCTCAAAAATAAACAAACATTAAAAAAAAAAAAAAGAAAAGAAACCTGTTTAGCTTTGTCTAATGCTATATCCCAACTTACTTGGCAATACAATTTTTTCCTTGAAGAGTATCTATCAACACCAAACACACAGTAATAAACAATGGTTACAAAAATGAAATGAAACCTCCTTACAGTGCAAAATGGTTCTGTAGCTTCATTATATTTTCATACATATTATCAAATGGTTCTAGGGGAACCTGGGTGGCTCAGTTGGTTAAGTGTCCAACTTTAGCTTGGGTCATGATGTTGCAGTTCTTGAGTTCATGCCCCGTGTTGGGTTCTGTGCTGACAGCTCAGAGCATGAGTCTGCTTCCGATTCTGTGTCTCCCTCTCTCTCTCTCTCTGCCCTTCCCGTTTGCATTCTGTCTCTGTCTCTCAAACATAAACAAACATTAAAAAAAAAAAAAAAAACCTTAAAAAAATGGTTCTCACTTTAGTTGCTAATTAGAATGGCCTCTGGAACTTAAAAAACTTCATGGCCTTGGGCGCCTGGGTGGCTCAGTCGTTTGAGCATCCGATTTCAGCTCAGGTCATGATCTCACAGCTTGTGAGTTTGAGCCCCGCATCGGGCTCTGTGCTGACAGCTCAGAGCCTGGAGCCTGCTTCCGATTCTGTCTCTCTGCCCCTAACCCACTCGCATTCTGTCTCTGTCTCTCTCAAAAAAAATAAATAAACATTAAAAAAAAAAAAAACTTCGTGGCTTAATCAATACTATATTTGTCCAGTGTCAGAAAAATCAAGGCTTCAATCTTTTAATGTCTAGTTGAGAGTTTTTCCATTGAGAAGGCCATAAAGACCAGGAAGACAAGCTGAATATACGATCAATAATAAAGTATCATATAGCAAAGATTTTATATTAGTATCAGAATAATTATTACAAAATTTTTTAGATAATCCTCCCTTTGTATACACTGCTCAGGTTTTCTTGAAAATACTGGTGTAGTTTTTTTTTTTTTTTTAAGTTTATTTATTTATTTTGAGAGCGACAGAGACATTTGGGGGAGACAGAGAGAATCCCAAGCAGGCTCCAAGCTGCCAGCTGCGGAGCCCGATGTGGGGCTCGAACCCACAAACTATGAGATCATGACCTGAGCCAAAAATCAAGAGTCAGTCACTTAACCAACTGAGCCACCCAGGCACCCCAAGTGTACTTTTGAACCTCACAAGTAGCAGTGACGAGACAGTACACATACTACACTAAATTCCAAAATATAAAAGAATTGTATTCGACTTTGAGTCTTAGTTTCCTCATTACAAGTGGGGGTATTTAAAATCTCTTTAAAGGGTTGTCATGAAGATCAAATGTAAATAAATGAGTGAAAGGATGAGGAGTTTAAGGATAACGGTAAGATTATAAATGTTATAAAATATTGGTATCATCCCCCAAAGAGATTAAAATCTCATTAACAATTCTGCCCTAATGAAAGATTATGGCAGTATGTTTTTTTTCATAATGTTATTCTAAAGCAGATTAAAAACAATTTTTTTTTAATGTTTTATTTATTTTTGAGAGAGACAGAGACAGAATGCAAGTGGGTTAGGGGCAGAGAGAGAGGGAGACACAGAATCCAAAGCAGGCTCCAGGCTCCGAGCTGTCAGCACAGAGCCCGACGCAGGGCCTGAACTCACAAGCTGTGAGATCATGACCTGAGCTGAAGTTGGACGCTCAACCGACTGAGCCACCCAGGCGCCCCATAAAGCTGATTTAAACTTGTAATTAACCACTTCATTTCTAGGTAATAAAGAAAAACTTACAAAGTCAGTATTATACACTTGTAAATATGTACAAAAATTGATTTTATAACATAAATCTTACTATCTACTTAAAAGCAATACATGAAAACCACCAACATTAGTAAAAACACTGAGGTAAACGTAGTGTCAGCATATAAAATCCTTATCAAATATGCAAGAATAAAAATTTAAGTAACAAACTCAACAAGGCAATTGACTTACTCTTGGTCAGAGGCACTGATTTATAATCAAAGCTTAAGAGGGGCACCTGGGTGGCTCAGTCGGTTAAGCATCCGAATTCAGCTCAGGTCATGATCTCACAGTCTGTGAGTTCGAGCCCTGCGTCAGGCTCTGTGCTGACAGCTCAGAGCCTGGACCCTGCTTCAGATTCTGTGTCTCCCTCTCTCTCTCTGCCCCTCCCCCAATCAAAGCTTAAGAAAAAACTTCCAGGGGTTATTCTGAAGATTCACAGAGAAATGTCCAGTGTTATTATTATGGCTAGAGTTATAAAAATAATGAAATATAACCCCCTCAAAAACACAATGACTAAAATTTATTATTACTCCAAACTTTCCTAATCACAATAAAAAAGTTTTTATGATGAGTATTGGTAACACTTACCAGTTATACCCTCTGCTAGAAGATCTGTCATTTTGCAACACGATGCCAAAAGCTTAGTGGTAAATTCATCTAAAAGCATTATCTTAAAATGAATATATATTAAGAAATAGTGTAAGTACCTGATTGCCAAGAATTCACAATAGACACAATTTAATCCTTTACACTTACTCAAACATAAACCTTTTATAACATAAAATGAAAATATCAGGACAGTAAACAAAATTATCTCGATTCACCTCTTAACTTGTATGACCTAGAAATTTATTTTCTCAATATACATACATATAATATTATACATAAGCAAATAGAAACATTTCCATTTTGAAGCAGAAAACTTGTTCATTTTAAATGTATCTTGTGTTTAACATCAAATTTCTTACAATTATAAAATGTCACTTACAAAATAATAATTGTTCCAGGTGCTGTTCTTATTTTCCATGGATTAATTAATTTAATCTTTACAACTATGCTATGAGGTAAGATTATCCCTATTTTAGAGACAACAGAGAGGTCAAGCAATTTGCCTAAGAAGCCACAGCTATCAAGTGGTGAAGCTATGATGTGAATGCAGTCAGTATGGTTCCAGACTCTACACTCTTACAGAAGTATAATAAGGACAATAGGTTGATGTCCTCAATTAAAGGGCAAAACATGCATTCTACCTTCCATTCGCCTTCTTTCTTGCAGTCATCAAACACTGTTGCTTTGATCTCTGCCAAAAAAAAACAAAACAAAACACAAAAAACACAATTATTTACAAATTTAAATCAACAATTAGAAACATAATAACAACTACTGAAAGAGCAAAAAAGATCGGGAAGTACCCAATTTGAAAATCTGCTAACTTACATAAAAAATATATGTACCTGTTAAACTCTAAGTAAAAATTCAGTTCTCTTTAATACCTAACCTATATTTAAACTGTAATATATTTTCAAATTTTTGAGAATTAAAGTATTATAGGGGCACCTGGGTGGCTCAGTAGGTTAAGCGTCCAACTTCGGCTCAGGTCATGATTTCACAGTTCTTGGGTTTGAGCCCTGAGTCAGGCTCTGTGCTGACAGCTCGGAACCTGGATCCTGCTTCAGGTTCTATGTCTCCCTCTCTCTCTGCCCCTTCCCTGTTCCTGCTCTGTCTCTCCTGCTCTCAAAAATAAATAACAAACATAAAAAAAAAAAAAAAAAAGTTAAGGGATGCCTGGGTGGCTCAGTCAGTTAAGCATCTGACTTTGGCTCAGGTCATGATCTCATGGCTTGTGAGTTCGAGCCCCGTGTTGGGCTCTGTGCTGACAGCTCGGAGCCTGGAGCCTGCTTCAGATTGTGTCTCCCTCCCTCTCTCTCTGCCCCTTCCCCACTCACACTGTCTCTCTCTCTCTCTCTCTCTCAAAAATAAACATTAAAAACATATTTTTAAAAAAGTTTAAAAAAAGTATTATAAAATATTAATATAAGTATATAAATATATCTGGAAAATATTTCTGAAACTATTATCTGATTTGCTTTTTCCTATTCTACTTAAACCCCAAGTAAACAAGATGAAAACAAAAAAACTCATAGGAAAATCCCTAACTAGCCCATTGCTAAATTACATCTGACAATCAAAATTGGGTAAGCACTTTTCTTCCTGGTTTACTGCATTACAATTTTCAACAATTTATATTACAACATTAGGATACAGATATTCAGTCTTGATTTATAATCGATAAATATTAACATGTTTGTTGTAATGATTTTTAAAATTAACCTAAACATATTTTTTATTTTTTTAAATTAAAAAAAAAAAATTTTTTTTTAACGTTTTATTTATTTTTGAGACAGAGCATGAACGGGGGGGGGGGGGGGCAGAGAGAGAGGGAGACACAGCATCGGAAGCAGGCTCCAGGCTCTGAGCCATCAGCCCAGAGCCCGATGCGGGGCTCGAACTCACGGACCGCGAGATCGTGACCTGAGCTGAAGTCGGCCACTTAACGACTGAGCCACCCAGGCGCCCCTAAACATATTTTTTAAATTAGTTCACTGATAAACAAAAATTTTTTTCTGATGTATTAAATAACACACATAGGCAATCAACACAAATATCTGTTGTTCTACCTCATAATAAGACAATTCCTCACAAAGTTTTACTAATTTTCAATTTTGAAAACTGATATGTAGTATGTAACAAGTAAAATATAATTAAAATGTAAATTACAGTAACTTCTAATTTCATTAATTCCTGGTAATGAGATGTTTATATAATTCATTTAAACTTTCCTACTTCTTGGGTAGGCCTGGCTGGCTCAGTCAAAACATGCAACTCTTGATCTCAGGGTTGTAAGTTTGAGCCCCAGGGAGAGTATAGAGATTACTTAAATAAGTAAATAAACTTAAAAAAAAATAATAAAAAAATTAAAAGATAAACTTTTCTACTTCTTAATTTAATACCTAAACTTTAATTGTTTTAAGTTAATGCTTGTGGAAATATACCATCAATTTTTGGCATCACATTAAATGACATGTTCAAGCAGAGGGTATATTTAATAAGGATTACTAATACTCATAAGAAGTGTGATCTGGAAGGTTTTATTTGATTGGGAAGGCTTGAAAGTGTTAAGAAATACTAGTTAAGGTGCTTATATGTGTTTGTTAGGAAGATTGTAGCTTTTTTAATGTTTATTATTTATTTTTGAGAGAGAGAAAGAGAGACTACGTGCGCACACAAGTGCACACGAGTGGGGGAGGGGCAGAGAGAGAGGGAGACAGAATCCAAAGCAGGCTCCAGGCTGTCAGCACAGAACCTGATGCAGGGCTCAAACTCAGGAACTGTGAGATCATGACCTGAGACAAAGTCAAACATTCAACTGACTAAGTCACCCAGGCGCCCCTGCCAGGAAGATTATAATGTTAAATGAGAATTACAGCAAAAGCCTAAAGTGTTTAATATTTGGGAATTTAAACCCAAAGCACTGGTTTCTTCTACTCTATAGGCAGAGATAAAGGATTTTCTCAGGCAGAGTTCAGACACTAAAATACTATGCCACTTCCCTTTCTAAGCTTGCTTTATTTCTGTATACCTCAAACAAGCTGAAAATCAAAGAAATAAATGCTCATGGAATTTATGATGGAGCAGACTGAAGAGTTCCCTAGGAAGAACTCATCTCATTATAGTCTTTAAACCCTTAGAAACTGCACTGATGTATATGGTAAAAACTCATCACATGTTGCCATTAAGCACTTAAAGTACGGCTAGCCTGAACTGAGATGTCCTGTAAGTATAAAATACACACCAGATTTCAAAGACCTAGTACAAAAAAAAGGAATAGAAAATATCATTAATTTTCTATATTTACATGTTTAAATGAGAATATTTTAGAAATTCATTATTAGGGGCACCTGGTTGGCTCAGCTGGTTAAGCATCTGACTCTTGATATCGGCTCAGGTTGTGATCTTGTGGTCATGAGACTGAGCCCCGCATGAGCCTCCACACTGAGTGCTTGGGATTCTCTCTCTCTGCCCCCTCCCCCCAAATAAATATTTTGAAAAATTTATTATTAAAATTATCTTCATCCGTTTCTCTCTCTCTTTTTTTTAATGTGGCTACTAGAAACTTTTAAATTATATATGTGGCTTGCATTATATTTCTACTGGATAGTGCTGCCTTGGAATATGAAGATACCTAGACAGTGTTAGTGTTAGCATCTTAACAACAAAACATAGGGGCACCTGGGTGGCTCAATCAGTTGGGCATCCAACTCTTAATTTAGGCTCAAGTCATGATCTCACAATTCCTGGGATGGAGCCCCATGCTCTCAGTATGGAGACTGCTTGGGATTCTCTCTCTCAAAAATAAATAAACTTCAAAAAAAAAACAAAACAATAAATGATAAACAACCAGTTTTGTGGACTAGAAATTAGGTGCATCCAAAAAAAGTAATATGGTCAAAGGTAAGGTATGTTTGGAGGGGAGTCAAAGGAAATCACATCAACTAATATGACAACTTTTTAAAAAGGTATTTCCTCCAAATACTAATGAAAATTATTTGACCTTACATCCATTTCTCTAGCACCCCAAATATGGATATATTTGATTCAATTCTCTACTCTCTGCTTGCTCTAGTCTCTTTCTCAGAAACCATATTTGTCCTTAAAAGTTTCGTCTATTAGATCTAGCCTTCAATTTTTCCCAACATTACTGAGATACAACTGACACATAACACAACTTCAAAATATATAATGTGTTGATCTGATACACATACTGCAACATAATTACCACCGTAATGTTAGTTAACAGATAATTACCATTCTTTTAGTAATTTTGGGAGGTGAGAACATTTAAGATCTACCTTAGCAACTTTCCAAGTATATAGTACAGTAGTACTGCTACCTGTAATCACAATACTGTTCATTAGAGCTCCAGAACTTACTCCTCTACCAACTGAAGTCTGTACTCTTGGACCAGCTTCTCCTCATTCCCCCTAACCCCCATCAGTCTTCAATTTTTTGCAAATCTAATTCTCCATCATTCAATTATACAGTACAGGTTTAAGCACCTACCTGCCTCAAATTGAGATTATAGTTCCCTAAAAACTGCTTTAGACTTCTCTAAGAGTTTTAGTGACATTTTCTTAGTCATAGTCTTTGGATAGTTCCTCCATCTCCCATATCCAATAATCATGCAGTGTTGATTGCTCTTTCTGGTGACTGCCACAGTCCTCAGCATTGCCTTGGTTCTCATCATCTCTCACTCAACTACTATAATAGCCTCCTATCCGGATTTCCTGCTTTTAATTTTTTTTAAGTTTATTTATTTAATTTTGAGAGAGAGAGAGGGAGGGAGGGAGGGAAGGAGGGAGGGAGGGAGAGACAGAGAAGGAGCTCATGAGCAGGGTAGGGACAGAGAGAGGGAGAGAGGGAGAGAAGGAGAGGGGGAGAGAGAGAGAGAGATTGAGAATCCCAAGCAGGCTCCACACTGTCAGTGCAGAGCCCAATGCGGGGCTCAAACTCATGAACCACGAGATCATGACCTGAGCCAAAATCAAGAGTCAGATGCTTAACCAACTGAGCCACTCAGGTGCCCCTGGATTTCCTGCTTTCTACCTCCAATCCTTTTGCCTGTTCAATCCATTTTCCACATTGCTGTCAGTGATCTTCCTGAAGCACAAATTTCTTAATCAATGCCCACCTAAATTCCCTCAAATGCTCACTCTTGCCTCAGAGTAAAATCTAGATTTTACTATTCAACCTCCTGTACCAAATGGCCTCTGCCTACTCTCTTAGTTGATCTTCCACCAGTCCAAATGATATCCAAATAATTATCTATTAATAGATACTACTATTATCTTAGTAGTATCTAATAGATACAACTAATAGATACAACTACTCTCTTTGCTCATCCTGTTTCTCCTAAATGCAAAAGGAAACGTGTTTAAAACTAATGCCAAAGATGGGACGCCGGGGTGGCTCAGTAAGTTGGGCGTCCGACTCCGGCTCAGGTCATGATCTCACAGCTCGTGAGTTCGAGCCCCGCATCGGGCTCTGTGCTGACAGCTCAGAGCCTGGAGCCTGCCTCGGATTCTGTGTCTCCCTCTCTCTCTCTCCCCCTCCTCCGCTCATGCTCTGTCTCTCTCTGTCTCAAAAATAAACAAACATTACAAAAAACACAAAAAACTAATGCCAAAGAGGAAATGAAAACATGGAAGAGAAAAATGAGAACAGAGCTAACCAAGTTTTGTG